GAAGAGCCAAGACTAATGACAATAACAAGTACATAAGTACATAACCAAAATGAAGTTGGGTATTAAAATACATGTATACAATGAAAAAAAGGGGGAGACATGTATTGTCCTAGTTGCAGCTGTTTGAGGAAGACATACCCTACTCTGTAAATAATGAAGCATAAAATACCAGAGAAGTCCCCCTTTCAACTGAGAGGCGCAGGAGTGCGGCTTTGTACATCAAGTGGAGATGAAGATAACAGAGTGTAGACCACGATTATATGAAATATGAATTGAAGTCCTGTGAAGGGATCACAGACTTGATATTCTGTAGCTTCACGACTAATGAGTAAAAGAAAACATTTTTTTTTTAAAAGCCTGAAGGTGTGTTGTTTTGGGACTTCGTATCACACGCACTTCCCCAATTTCACCTGGAACTGAATAGAAGGGTCACTCATCCCGTTTGCTTCTGTGTGATTAACAAAGTACGAGGTGAAAAAGCTTCTGTTTAATGGTTGCTTACCGCTTTATCCAGAAAGGCTTCATCCCTTGAAAGATGAAAGGCACCTAGTAGACCTCCTAGAACACGGATTGTGGTCTCAAAGAGGTTGACGTCGATGTTGGGCTTGATGTTCATGTCATTCTCCACCCAGTTGCGAGCCTCCTCAAATTCTGAAAAGTAAAATACATGTATCATCAACTTAACCGTGCTCCTTTCTTCTTCAAGTCTCACAGGAAAATTTGCACTGACCGTGCCTGGACCTGCAAAGCAGAACTAACAAATGAAATTAAAAAAAAAATTGCTGTCAGACTGGTGCCAATTAGATAGATTTCCAAAAGATGGCAAAACCGACAGTGTGTGCATTCAGGCAAGCTTTAATGCACAACTTACACAACAGTCTATGTCACAGTGCCCTACACAACCATAATCTTAATCAAAATAAATTAGATGGCCCTTGCAAGACATGGTTAATTACTTAACGTACTTTGCTCCTCAGAAAGATGTACCAATACACTCCAAAGTTATTTCTACAATTCCCACGTAAAGTCACAAGTGCAGGTAGATTTTGTTCCCGACAGACTGGACAAACTGAAGACTGGACAAACTGAAGACTGGACAAACTGAAGACTGGACAAACTAAAGACTGGAGAGTAAGCCAAGGCATCTCTTCTATTAATCCTAACCCTAAATAATACTACAAATTACTGCTTGTGGTAAAATGTAGTAATCAGTGCTGCCGCTTGTAAGAGGACATGACTGCATTGTTCTCTGAAGCCATAAAATACAATAGAAAAGACAATGTACCATACAGTGCTGTGGCACTATGAATGCATGGCTTTATTGTTTTCTGTACAAGTAACAATGGAAGTAACCTAGCCAGAAGTAGTAATTTGTAGCGCTAGGTCCTTCAGGCTCAGGCTATTAGTTAGTATTTTATAGTACTGAGTACTGTAGGCCAAACAATATGCTTTGGCGGATAGGGTTAATGAGAATGTTGGAATGCTCACCCTCATTCAACCCCATTATGTACATAGTGTCCAGTGCATCGATGATGGTCAGTCCCAGGCCGAACCAGTTGTTGTACGATTTACTGATTGGCTTCAGCTCGTCATGACCCCAGGCGTGGGCCCTGTAGGCCTTCCACGCATGCAGGAAGGCACCCACCACTGCCTCTTGCCGCTCATTCTTGGCACCTGGAGGGGCAAGGTACCAGACACACTATGATCAGCATTATTCATTCCAAATAACGAGACAAAAAGGATTCTCACATGTGATTGAGGCATATAGCCTGCACACCTGATAGGGCCTTGAGCCTACAACTGTTTTTTTTTAACTGATTGTTCCCTTTTTGGTTACTTTTTCAAATGACAAATCAATCAAATACTAAAACAGTTTTTGTGAACCTGGTATATGAAGAAGGGTTTTGTATGTGTTTGCAGAGAAAACAAACAAAACAAAAAGAAACCAACTGAATTTCACACACAAAGCAAGTTAACAAAGCTTTTAGGAAATGTCCAAACTATGGCTATGGTTCCAAATAGTGTTATAGCCAGCCATATTTTACTGCAGGACAATTTTGCAATGGCAAACAAAGGGAGCGAAATAAATGTACAGTGTAACAGGAGTCTCGCTGGGCACAGCCAGGGGATCCAGGGGCCCGCTTGAGGGAACTGTAGATCACTTTTTAGTGAGATTTTCTTTCAAAATTGATGAAGAGTTCATTTTTTAAAAATTCTCCCAGGTAAAAATATGAAATTTGATAGTGACTGATCTTTTTTCTGGGAATTTTAAGGATTTTTGTGCCGGTCAGTGGGCTGTTTCATCACGCTTAGTGCTGGACAGACGAATGCTGTGGTGGAGATCCCCAACCGGCACCGACAGGTGTACAGACGCTGTAACACTGGTTTCAGATATAGTTGGGACAGCCCCAACGATAGTGCTAAATGGGCTTATCTAAACTACGGCACTACAGATGAATCCAGGGACATTGCAGCTGAGAGTTCCTACATTCCAGGAATGGAGCTATGCTGTCTTGGGTTTGTTTGGAATGAACACCACTGAACACTTGCTTTGTAAACTGCCTATCACAGGGCCTTTTGCCCACTGCAGAATCGGAACGACCGCCGTGGAACACTTGGTATGTTCTGTACGCTAGCAATCACAATGCTTAGAACTGGATGAGCCTTAACGTGTACACTGACTTGTCCACTGGGGGACGTAATACAGTAAGACCCTCTATCTTCTGATGGCACTGAACAGAATACCGATTGTCAGAGTTTGTGCTTTTACCGTAGATACTGCTTTTACTCTCCGAGTCGCCCTTGCGGCTTTGAGACTCATCGTCAGAGCCGCCGGCGACGTGTTTTTTGGAATCGTCTTGATCTCTGGCTTCTGATGGACCATTCCTGGCCACAGCGTCATCAGGGATGTGCAGTACAGGTTCCTCCGCTTGCCCACTCTTGTTATCCTGAGATGAGTGCCATGTGCAAATTAAGACGGCAATGAGCTGGTATAAACTGCCTTTTCAAATGTGTGTTTCTTGGGAGTTCATAAATCTGTTGGTGACCCACAGACCATTACAATGAATCCATCATTTTGGTGCTCCGTTGGTCATTACAAATGAATTGCGTGCAAGCACACTCATTTTACGTGCACACATGCATTGTAACAGGGGGAAATTACTCAATTTACTGCACACAGGTTCCCCAGTCCACATGTATGTACCCGTCAAATGGGCGATACTCAGATTAGGTTGCCCCCATAGCCTATGTGGAAGAAATTGATTTTCTCGGCAGTGCTCTGTGAAATGTTGCAATGATAATTCAAAACTTTCCCTTTAATGCACACATCTACAGCAGTAACTATGGCTTTGGCAGTGAGAATATCAAATAAACCTAACCATGTGCTTTGCGCCATCAAAAAAAAAAATGGTGTAGTTGAGTGCTCAAATGAATATGTGGCCATTTGAAGGGTTAGATTACGCCATAAGTTACTGAAAAATTGCAGGCATGGTCATCGGAAGTAAATTTTTGTTGCAAATAAAACAATTTTCAGTAAAAAGTCACAAGATGTCCTTCTCTCATTGCTATATGCAATTACCCACACTGTTACTTGTGATTTTCCAGGGATTCAACTTGTGACTGACTTGGGATTTGAGTTGCAAGTGACTGTAAAATAACCCTGGTTACAAGCAGGTATGTGAACAGGTGCATGTAGTAATGGCAAGAAACACTCTGGAATGCTATTCTATTTCATTATAAACTTCAAAATCCTGTGACTATGGATTTTAAAGGTGACTCTTAAAACACAGATCTGATCAACTGCCTCTTAGAAGAAGAGATGATTGATTAACCCCCTCCAAGCAAGAAATTATGAATGAACTAAGTCAGGCTTAAAATAATTTGGGTGGTTAAAATACTAGTGTGGATTTGAAATTTCAAAATAAAATCACGTGCAAAAGTTCCAGCACACAAAAACCCTGTCCTCCAAAGACAGAAAAGAAAGGAAAGGAGTAGTAAATGTATTATGCCAACAGTTGAATGCTTTGTGGTCCTCTATAGTCAGGCCACTTAAAAGCCTCTGTGCTTGTCCCCTGAGGTAAAGGACTGCTTGCAGTGTTAGGCAAATTCATGTAATCTCGATACCTGATCACCTCTTTTTTGACTACTGTATCTAGTTTAATATGCCATACGTAGAGTTATCATTGGTTCCCAGCTGTACAAACCATCAACACAAAAAATGTATTCATATACAACAAAATAAAACGAAAAAAAACTGAGGCACTGAAGAAAGATACTCACTACAGCAGGACTACACTGCAAGCCACAACAGATATCCCACCATGCTCTGCAGGGGAGCTTGTTTGTTTGCCTATCTTACCTCCAGTGCCCCAGCAGCAGCTCCTTCCCCAGAGTCCGGGGTGCGGAGTTGGCTTTCATATGCATGGCCCATGTGCTGCCAGTGATGAGGGTGTTGGTTTCCACTTACTTTTGGCGGGTCCCTGTGTATCCTGGGAGGCCCTTTCTTGTGGCGCTTTGGTTCTTCTGCTTGGTGCTGGAGACAGAATAGAGATGCAAAGGGAAAAAAGTAGATGTGGAATCATCTTGGAGAAGGGATTACAAAGTCCTTCAGAAATACTGGCAAGGGCCACAATGTTTCTACATCAGTTGGAAGAGTTCAAATTCCATTCATCTTTTCAAAAAACTTCCAAGAGAATCAAGAGATACAGAAATGACATGGATTCTGTGCTCGACTTCTACATATTTTGAGCTTTTAAAGGTTTTAATTATCGAAATTCTGCAGAGAAATTGTTTGAAAGAAAAGTATGTTCAGATATATTCAAGTGCATTTTACAGCATGGTACAAAAGATGACAGACATGGTTCAACCAAATCTTTTGAGAACAGACAACGGTTTGCTACATGTATGCACCCAGGTCTCTCCAACAGAAGCCCTCGGGTTTTTCCACTTTTAAAGATTCAAATCGTTGGGATGGAAGTCATGGGCAAGCTTCCAGGGCTAAGGCTATTCTCTTCCGTCAGCATATCCCTGCATATTTCCAAACATGCCAACTGGTGAAGACCTAGGCCTACCGGTAGCTCTAGACAGACAGATTTGAATGCAGCCAGGGAGAGGGTGGTGTTGAGGACACTTTTAGAAATTTGTAGGAAGGTTTACTTAATAACCAATCAAAGCATCAGAGCAACATTTAAAGTCGTCTATGTTTTGGGATTAAAAAAAATTTTAAATCACAGACAACATGGGAAAATAATACTTAAACTTTTTTGTGACGGTATTACACCAATTTAGGGAAATGAAGCAAGGTACAGGAAATCCAACAACTTTTGTTAGACCTGCAGGAGAAGAGGTAAGGTTGAGAGTGGTTCCTTACCATGTTCCCACCCTGTCCTTGGCGGACACCATCTTGGTTGATGTTCAGCACTGGGAGCTTTCCAGCGTCGCCATGATTACCTGGTTCCCTGCCAATATTATGATCCCTGGCAAAGTTGGTGTCAGACTGGGCGGCCTTCCGGCCAGGCAGGAATAACAAGTACATCACACACAAGATGGTGAGTGACACCACAACCTTGAAAACGTTGCGCTGGAGGCGTGAAAGTTGCTTCCAGGACTGCACATGGAAAAGCAATTTTGAGAGTTCTTGTAGTTATAATGTGCATTTTGTGAGTTAAATTTGAACAAAATCTGGTACACTGTATTCTTTGGAGTCACATCAACATAACAATTGAATTCTTTACACAAAAGACACTGTTGCTATACCTAGTGATTCAAGGCAAACTTTTGCTTAGTTACATAGGAAATGCCTTGCACAAGTACACTGTTTCCCAGGGATAAGAAGGGCACAAAGAAAGGAACCAGTTCATTCCAGAAATGGCAGTCGCTATACAAAAGTTTGCCCCAAATCACGAGGTACATGTATAGCAACAGTTTCTTTAGTCTTGAGAATTCAAAATGATATGTTTACATGTATGTGCAATCAGGTAATTCAATGAACCAGATTTCATTCCCATTTAACTTACAAAAGGCTTACTGTGCCCACAAACTGTGCACACACACTGCAGAAAGAGCAGCTTCTTTAATACACAAAATAATAAATATTAACCTGAAGTAGGACAACTGCTTCCTGTACATGTACATGTACATGTATGTACTGGTATGTATTGTATTTAGCTTACATTGACCACAGTGAACCACATACCATAATTGCTGCATTTTTCTGAACATTCTAACTCAATTTGTCAGATCCTGGAAAAAAACTGGGCCACGAAAACTGCTGAAAAGTGTTGAACTTCTAAATAGTGCTCCCTAACAAAGATGTTGGCAAAACGCCACAGACATAAAGCTGGGTAGCTCAGCTGGTACAGTGTGCTGGAGGTTGCATGTTTGTTGTATGCTGTGTTGAATAATATATATGTACATTAAACTGTTCTTTCCTGAATCCAAAGTGGATGTGGAGAAGTTGCATTCATATTTTCCAATGCAGTTTTGTGATTGATTCCAACAAGATGTGCATGTAATACATGTACATGAAATTATCAAAGTACAGGTAAAAATGTGATAGAACAAATGAATTATTGTCGCAATTTTATTGCTTATACAATTTGAAGAATTGGCAACGGATATTTAGAATTTCTAACATTAACTTGGAATAAAATAGTTCAGGTCTAACGAGATGGTTATAATTCTCGGAGAATTAGAACTCCGAAGAAAGACATTTTCAACGATTGTTTCAGACATCAATAAAATAATGAGTTCACCAAGAAAATAAAATTTGGAATACCCACATATTTATTATTCGGTATTCCTTTGACAAAACACCAATTTGAGCGCCAGTACCGGTAAGATGAATGTCAAAGTTGTTGCTGCATTTCATTGGGGTTAAAAAGTTCTGGTTAAAAAGTGAAGTCATTCCTTGTCGCATTAACCATCGGAGACCTTGGGTTGTACTCATAGCCAGGGTGCCCGAAATCAGACAAAGGAGCTGGGCCTGATAACAAAAGACCATACTCAGAACAAAAGACCAAGCTGCTGGGAATTGCAAACATTTTTCAGCACAGAGTGCTGACATTAGCGGAGGTAATCCGTCATTGTTTTAAAACGGTACACCACTGTTTGTGGCATCCAGCACACGCCAATTATCTGCGGGGAAAAAAGTGCCCCAGATCTTCAGCGATGATACAGTAGCACTGTGCACTAATCTGGCTGCATTTGAAAAGATACCACTGTCATTCAGCAATGCACTCAACCAGTTTCAGGAACAAAGGAAATTACCAAATACTGCTCAATGTTGACCTCTTTACTGGGCAGCAGGCCTGGCTACAATACTCAGGCGTCAATGGAGGTTGCCTGTCAGATTAGAGTAGGCATCAGACAGTCATTCGTGTGGGTGTAAGCATCCAGTAAATGAAATTATGAACTCTGGAAGAATTTTGAAAACGGAAAATCTTGAAATTGCCCAGAAACTCCTCCCAAGTATGCAAATTCCACCCAGCAGGAGTGGTTAATAAACGTAAGGTGATGCAGTGCAATTTTCTTCATCTCGTTCTCTTAGTATATGGCATCTTTAAGGAGAAGACTGGCAAAAACGGAATCAGTTACAGGTAAAAGAGAACAATTTTTACAAAATGAGGCTGTTGTGTTTCTTCTGAAAGCAAAGTCATTCCTTATATCTTTATTTATGCATGACAAAGTGCATTAAAGGCCATCGTAGAAACCATTCCTCAATACCAGGAACTCCACCTCTGCTTGCATACACTGCGCACACAAATTTTCTGAGCTAGGCCCTATTGTACTTTTTTCAGAGGAAAATTAAATAGGGGCCTACTGTAAATTGAACCACAGACAAAATTTTATGATTCAAGTTAAAAAGTAAGAGTTAAACAACAGCAAGGATAGGATAATTCAGGAATGTAAGGTTATTTTCATCGGGTATAACTACCGCGATAACAGACTAACCCATCCTACTTAGCACTAAACTAAAATACTCATGTGTAACGTCAACATAGGCTATACACCCACCTAGGCCTAACATCAAGTTCAACATGCGTAACACGTTGAACCAGTGGCAACGCTACTCACTCTCAAATACGACTGTCTCCGTCGTTTTTGGTTGTCATAATTGTCATCATCAGCAACATAGGTGATAAAATCGCTCTTGTTCGATGTTTTATACATTTTCCCTCGACTTCGACAGATCTGACAGTCAAAAATCATCAATAGAACATGGCATTTGGCTGGCCAACGGTCACGACGGTAGCATGGAGGTCGCCATTTTCATCAAGATGACGTGTTCCCACAATGCAATTTTGAACCGGTTTTATGGTGCACACGGTACGAGTCGAGTACGTACGTACGTACGATCGAGTGCAGACTAGACGAGCCCAGCACTAGTGACGACTCCACCGGTGTGACTAGCTGGCTGGTCGATTGCCGGTCCACTTTACAGATGATTCACCATGCCTTAGCCTGCTCAGTGGTTTGCTCAGTCAGTGCACTCAAAAGATGTTTACTGTTCACTTGAGGGGGATATAGCCTAGTTGGTCATAAGTAAAACTTTAGGAGTGACTTCACCCGGTATGCCTTCACTGCGGCTGCAGTACTGTAACCGTCGCTACTGCACTGGTACTAGGCGTGCCGAAGTCTGCTGCGAAGACGAAAACTTTAATCAGAGAACAGGCCTTGGGCCTGCTACGTCTGCATTGTATTACTAGGCCTACATCATACATGGCAACATCATGTACAGCACTACATGTAGACTAGGCCTCCTTGAATGCCTTTTTGTGAAAGCCGGCATAGGCCCCTAACACCATTTTCCAGTTAACAAGGCCAGATTGAGTGGTTCCAGTCCAGAATGTTGACTGTTGTAAGTATCGTTGTAGTCAAGACAAAAGTGTTTAGCATGTTTAAGCAGTTGATGGTTGGACGGTCCAAGTAGCCCAACTAGGGAAGCTACATGTACTTGTACACAACGGTGACGGTGACAAGTAGGGTCCAGAGTTCGAGTTCCATGTTAACATCACTCATTTTCTGGAAAGTTCAGTATCACTGAAACGAGAACCCTCGGTCTGATGCTGAAACCAAGGCCTGTAAGCTGTCAGAAAAATTACCATAAAATAACGCAGAACCAAATTTTAAAAATCTGGTGTACCTGTTGGTGAAGGGTGTACGTCATGTTCCAGTACTGCTTTGATTGATGCCAGTTTCGTGGTTCACATTTCACACTTCAATGAACAGCTGAAGTTTGAATTTTGGAAAATTGCGAAAAAAGTCTATTGCGCACGGGTGTGTGAGGGTTAAAATCAGATCTATTGGATTGAATGAAAAGTTTAAAGGAGTTTTATACTTGCACACATAAAATATAAAAAATAATTAACCCTTTAACTCCTTATCTTTGACACCAAAATAATCTCATTTCTGGGTCTGTCATTACCAAGCAGAAAGGGATTAACAATAACATCGCATACATTTCTCGATGAGAGAAGGATCATAGCCGAAGTTGAGCTGCTGAGGCAGGACAGAGTGACGATTAGGCTGTGTTGTGGAGGGCACAGATTTGCATAGAAAGAAATGGGGCCCATGTTGAGGATTAATGAAATTTGACAGCTGAAGTACATTTATCATACTAGGCCAAGCTGATACTTGAGAAATCAGTTCCTTATTTTTGTTTCCCCCAAAGACCCTCCAAAACACCTGAAGATGTACAGTACCACAGATGCATTCAGGGATCAGGGCTGCATTTAGCCATGCCACACATCACCAAACAAACTCAGTGTACCTTACATGTAACGATACATGCACTACATACAGGTACAGGTTGTATCCGTATGATATGGTGGAGCAGACAACCAGTGTAGAATGACATCTACTTACAGTATAAAATGTATACATGTAAGGTTAATTTCAGCCCAATGTCGAGTTATACAATGTGCATAGTAAGATCACGCTTAACAGGCAGCAAAACAGTATTCTAATTTTTTTTATGTCAGTAGCAAGAGACAACAGTAATACATGTACATGTATACATCAAAAATCAGGAATAGGTAAACCGACTACATGTACATGTAGGTGCTTTTCTTGAGTGGGATTTGAACCTGAAGAGTTCCAATTCCACTGCAGTCAATTTCATTGTTCAGTTTTAGTTTCTCTGTATGTATATCAATGTAGTATGTTTCATAATTTATGTTCAAAAAAGCTGTATCCTCTCCGTGTTCACCACTTTCTAGGTTGTACATGGATCGTGTTATTGGGGCATGTGGGAGTGATCCACGGCTACATGAGGTTTGAGGTTTAATGGCTTCTGTCTAGCACCCCCGAACAAAGTTGTTGACAGATGGGAAGATAATAATAATTTATTCATGTATAAAGCGTAAATTTCATATAGATACATGTATGTTCAAATGCGCTGTACAATGAAGACATTAAGCGTGGAACAATTAATAGTACATTTAAATTTAAACATGGTTGAGCTGATGGCATACAAGGGCGCCTCGGGCAGCCACCAAACGACCCACATTCACCAACATCAGTAAAGGGGAGACAGTAAGAAGCAGTTACAGTTTTAGAGGTGGGAGGAAAACAACAGAGGAATATTCTGGGTAAAACCCACAGAGTTGGGTAGGGACTGAAAACCCAATCCACATGTGGACCGGGCTGGGAATCAAACCCGGGACCACAGAGGTAGAAGGCGAGGAAAGAACTACCTTGCCAACCTGATTTGTCCACCAGAAGCTATCAGATACATGTACTTGTTCAAGCACTCTAATGCCAGTGACACCCTGTTACTACATGAAATAGCTGGTACAGTTCATATACACCAGTATGTACCGGTACACCGTTCATATACAGTGTACATGTGTATATACATGTACTTGTACACTTAGTGTTGTTGAAATAATGTATTAATCATTTTGAAACACCTTTTTCACTGATAAAGGTAGAAATTAGCAACAAGTCAAATTTACTTGATGCTGTGTGTTGCTGTGTGTTTTGTAGACAAAATGTACTTGTACATGTAGTCGTACCTTTAGGGGTTTTGTTGATTAAAATGAGTTATTTTCAAAGCTGACCAAAGTACGCAGTACTGCGCACTGGTACTGGTAGGCCTATCAAGTATCAAGTTATTAGATTAATAGCTTTGAATTTGTGAATTTCTCAACATTTTCAAAAAGGTCAACCCCATATGCCCCCACATCATTTTTAGGTACAGGTGCATGTTCGTTACAGATACATGTATATTTTACATGTACATGCATGTACACGGTATCTGCTCTGACATGTCTGAGCGGAACAAAAGAGGGTGTCTTTGTAAATGAAATTGATGGCCCTTTTGGTACGTGTGCTAGTACCAACTATGCGTGTTTCACGTGGAGCACACCGAGTACGTGCAACAAATTTATTCCGGAATGTACATGTACCCGTATGGTCTTTGCGTACACACAGAATGTGTGCAAGAACCGGGTTGTAATCATTTGTCTGTCTTTCGCCGATTGGTGGTGCACTTCAGCTCAGGGCTGATACCATGTTGGCTTTTGTTTGACCAAGTTGGGAGTAAATTCATCATAGCTTTCAACCTCTAGAATTACATGTATTTGTTCCAGGCTTTGAGTTGATTGCTTCAAGAAAAACCCAAGAAAAGGCGATGTTTATTTCAACGGTCACTGCCCAGTTTGCTTAATTTTTCTTTTCTTTCTCCAACTGTCGTAGTTCTCTGCAAGCTATTTGGAAAGTGCTACATTCACATACGTGTGCATAAAGCACATGAAATGTTGGTTAGTTTTGGCCAATACGACTCAATGAGACATTTGCACCACCTTTGTTTCCCCCCAGCTGGTGTGTTTCCCGCACTGATGTACAAATTTAACAAGGCTGAGTTTAATTTTTAAAAATTAAGATTATTCATTAATGCTACAGCATTGAGCACCGTACCGGTACATGTACAGTGCATTGTACAAGTATAGTACATTGTTTCTGGGCATTTGGGTTTTGTCTTGTCAAACATTTGTTTCAGCCATGAAGTGTCTCTTTTTTACTCCTTATGGGTACCTGAAATACCGGTATTTATCTGAAGTTTGTGATGTCATTTTAAATTGTTCTGTTTTAGAATTTTTTCCTGTTCCTGTGAAAGCGCAGGAGGATATTTATAAATACGCATTTGTGATGCTGTCGGTAAATGCGTTTGTACAAATGAATCTGGTGACCATGGTAACACTCAGTGGCAATTTGCAATGGCTCCCTTCGATAATGGTAGAAGGATTGCATGGAGTCACCTTCCATGACGGTCACTTTATACAGGGACCCAACCCATTTTTTTGGGCCAGTTAGTGACACCATTTGGAATGGAAAGTGTGCAAATGTATGCTTGCTTGCCAAAATACATGTTATGCCGGTACACTGCAGATTAGTTCACCAGAGGCTATCAAATACTTGTTCAAGCACTCCTCTAATGCCAGGGACATCCTGTTACTAATAGCTGGTACATAATGGTACATGTACAGTGTATACATTGTACATGTACATGTACAGTATCTGTACGTGTACGTTTGGTGTTATTCAAATATTAATCATTTGATGGAAAAACCTTTTTCACTGAAAAAGGTGGAAATGAACAACAGGTCAAATTTACCCACGGTACTTGATGCTGTGTGTTTTGTTTAGCCACTTCACGCCAGGGACATTTATTAATGTTAATGATGCTGGGACGGGATAATTTTCTTTCTTTTTTTCTGTTTTCTTTAAAAATTCATATCTTCATTTACTGGACACTTACGGTACACCCACATGGAGGACTGTCTGGTTCTACTCTAATCTGACAGACAACATCTATTGATGTAGGAGCATTTCAGCCAGGCCTACTACCTTGTAAAAAGAGTGCAGATTGTGCGGTGTTACATAATTTTCTTTTGTTCACAAACCTGGCACAGTGCGCTACTGACCTTTTTTCAATAGGGGCCAGATTAGCGTGCAGTGGTGCCGTGTGGCTCATCGCTGCAGTGGTGGAGCGCTTTTGTCCCCGGTGGTATTCCACTCGTGCTAAAAGCCCCAAACCGTGGTATACTGTTTCAAAACAAGGGTGGATTATCTCTACTATTGAGAGTGAAAAAATGTTTGTAATTCTCAGCAGCCTGGTCTTTTGTTACGAGTACGGTCTTTGTTACAAGGCCCAGTTTTCTTTGTCCTATTTCAGAGACCCCGGCCACGTGTATAAGGAATAGGTGTCCGGTACCGGCAACCCTGGCGGCAAGTGGTTAAAGTACCGGTAGACATCTTCACTTCTTTACGTACCGGGACATGGTACTTGTACATGTTGACGCACAGTACCTTTAGGGGTTTTGTTGATTAAAATGAGTTATTTTCAAAGCAGACCAAGGTACATGTACCAGTACGCAGTACTGCGCACTGGTACTGGTAGGCCTACCAAGTTATCAAGTTATTAGATTAATAGCTTTGAATTCGTGAATTTCTCAACATTTCAAAAAGGTCAACCCCACATGCCCCCACATCATTTTTAGGTACATGTACATGTTACTGATACATTTTACGTATGTACATGTACATGTGTACATGTCTGTACCGGTACGTGGTACCGCTCTGAGTGTAAAAAGAGAGGGTGTGTTTGTAAATGAAATTGATGGTCCATTTGGTACGTGTAGTAGTACCTATTCACCACATACTGGTAGGCGCGCAAGCTTACACATACATTGTACGTGTACATTTAGTTTGGGCAGCATGCGTGATGAATCCTGTATATCGGTACATGTACATTACCGCTGTTGCCTATTTGAAACTTAATTTCATTTCAAAATGGGGCTGATGACCCCATTGTAAATGGCTCATTACTGATACATACATGTGCATTGTAGAGCTCATGAAGACCATGGTACTACCAATAATACAGTACATCTCTCTCTCACCAGCTGTCATATTTCTTTGCAAGAAATTTGGAAAGTGCTACACCATGTGCGTACAGTGCATGAAGTGTTGGTTAGTTTTGCCAATGTGACTCAAAGAGGCATTTGTACCACCATCTGTTTCCCCCCAACTGCTGTGTTTCCCACACTGATGTACAAACAAGGCTGAGTTTGTTTTAAAAAATTACAATTATTCACGATGCTGCTGCATTGGGGGCTGTACATGTACATTGTACATTGTTTCCGGCCATTTGAGTTTTTGTCTTGTCAAACATCTGTTTCAGCCATGAAGTGTCTCTTTTTTACTCCTTACGGGTACGGTACCAGGAAATACCAGTATTTATCTGAAGCTCGGGATATCATTTTAAAATTCTTTTCTGTTTCAGAATTTTTTTCTGTTACTGTAAAAGTGAAGGAGGATATTTATATGCATTTGTGATGCTAAATGTATGAATCTGGTGACCATGGTAACACTCAGTGGCAATTTGCAATGGCTCCCTGCGATAATAGTAGAAGTATTGTATGGAGTCACCTTCCATGACGGTCACTTTGTACAGGAACCCAACCCAGTGTTTTCCACCAGTTAATGACACCATTTGGAATGGAAAGTGACACTGTTGATTTTATACCCGTACATTTGGGCATTGCCACTGTCATGGAAACAGTTTCTGGTCATCAGTAATCAGTTTAACTGACTTAGAAGTTGCATTTGTTTGATAACTTGCTTGTTTCTACTAGTATCGTACAATGTTGTGCCATGAACATTAATGAAACCATAATATTTTGCTGTTAGCATTACTAACGAGTGTCATGGACATTAACCTACTGTAAAAGGACACAGACTTTTCATCAACACAATTGTTACAAAAACTCTGTGAGTGTGAATCTGTTAGTTTTTTGTTTTTTCATTTTAATTGACTTTGATGCTGTATAACTCTAAGATAGGAAATATTCCCAAAGGATTTTCCTACTAGTACTTTCTCATGGTTAATTACTTCCTGAATTGTTTTTTAGATGCATGTGTACAAGTATTCATCAACCAGTCTTTGACCTTTTTTCTCTACCTACATGTACATGTATACAGGAAAGACAGGACCCTTCAGTAAATAGTACTCTTCTTGGTTTTCCGCAGGTTCAAGCAAGTCAAATTTACAACTTTTTCAGACCTTTCCTAACCCCCTAGGGACCATTGAAATCCTGCATAACCTTGTTGGGTTCAGTATGGTTAGGGTCAATGGAATTTGAGACCGATTATTTCCAAAAGTTTATGCATAAGACAAGCTAAAACAGCCAAAAGTCTACAGGAAATGGAGCAATCCAGATCCCATGCAAAATTATTTTTATGGCGTTTGATTGTTGCTTACTGGTACATGTACATGTAGGATCTTGCTTTAAAATTCTTTGTGCATCTTTCTTTCTCACTGCTTTCTTCTCTCTGACATTTTATTCTATCCTTGTACGTTTTTGCCTCTGAGCTTTGGGTTTTTACCAATGTTGTGAAATAAAATGATAAAGCAATTGATAAATGTTGCAGAAATGTACCTTCATGTACAGCAGTGTAGGCAATATACTGTACATGTGCTGTGCAAACATAGCAAAAAGAGCAGGCATGATCTATAGGCCTGTGTATGTACATGTACATGTATCTTGTGTAGGCCTTGGCTCCTCAATTTTGCCTTTGTTAACGTTTTGCAATTGGACTACATGTAGCTCAGAATGTGCATACATAATGTGTACATGTGTACATGTCACTTTAAAAAGTGCATACTGGTACATATGTAGATATTGTACATGTAAATGTTTATCTCTTTAAGTAGATGTATCTTGTAAGCATTGGCAGACTTCACAATAAAAAAAATTACCCGAAAGTTGAGGTTTCTGTGTAACCCTAACAATCCCTAACCAGTCAAACTTCAACACCAGTAAAGTGTTTAAAGGATCCAGGAAATTAATTTTTCTTAGAATCACTTTTTCTGGATCTCTGTACTCTTCTTCTATGTATGAAGACTGACACCTTTTTTGAGTTACTTGAACTGAAGAATGCACTTTTTCAAACATTAAAATTTAACCCAAGCATTTCCGGACAAGTGAGGGCACTTTTGCTTTGATGTAAATCCAGGAAGACATGGTTCAGGTTACATGTTTTCATGTTCAAGTTGTTAGCCCCAAATTTGCTATCTGGGAACATTTCTGTGAAAAGGATATTTGCTGGATTATTGCCATATACATGTACTTTTGCAGCAATAAATTGCCATTTGAAGAAAATGAAATCTGCCATAGCAGCACTTTGGCACGTGTACATGTACCCGTGCTCACAGTGTGCCCTTTTGTTTCACATGGAAATGCATCTCAAGAGTAATCTGTCATTGGTTCACTAACACCAGAGCCTGCTTAATGGATGGCTTGAACCAGCATTAGGATCACTGATCCAGATCCAGATCCAGATTCGTGTATAAAAAACAAGCCTAATGAGTACTATTCACTGTATGGCTGATTGTGTTTCCAGACAGCTTCAATTATTGATCAGTCTACATGTACATGGGTACATTCATGTACACAGATGGACTAGTCTGTGTTCTAAAAAGGTACACAGTATACATGTACTGTAGTTAATGCTCTTAGCAAAATGTTTAATGTCCATCATGTAAAAAAAAAAGTACTGTAATATCCATGATGCTCATTTGCAAAATTAAACATTCTTTGTATGAAAGGTTTCTGGATAAATAGATTTATCCAAGTAGACTACTGTAGCTTTGGATTTTAAGTCTCAGGAATACACATATCTTTTCACCTTAAATTAGGAAATGGATAAAAAAAGACATTACATTGGCCTTAAGTCAAAATGGCACTTTTAAATTGGCACTGCTATGGTAACAAGGAAAACATAACAATACCTGAGAAGACAAACCCCATGTAAAATTGTTTTAAGACTTACAAACAAAATATCTTTTATTTTACATGTAAATGTATGCACTAGTACTCTAAAGGTTGGTGAATAAAAGTATTTAAAATGGGCATGGTAATTGTAATTTTATTATTTTATTCATCAGTTTTCAGAACAACAGCAAGCTACAAAATTGAAAGAAAAATTAAAAAAACAAAAATACAGATTGAAATAGTCCAGACATCACTCTTTCAAATTCTATTGAATTTATTTGCATGCAGTTACTTTGAAATTTTTGGGCCCTGGAAAAGTTTTCACTGGAAAAAATGTCTCATTCTTTACGCAGAGGCAGTTGTTCGTGGTGTGCATAGGTTTTGCATTCACCGCCCTGACCATCTGTGCAATTTACGTCAACTCCATTGGCATGCACTCCAGGTACCAGATGTACACGAGAAAGGAACTCACTGAACACTCAAGTTACGCAACCGCCAATGGGCACAGACCAACAGAGAAGTTGCGAGTGGCTGAGGCGTTTGTAGCCTCCAATTTGAGCTCAATAAAATCAAATGCCACCGAACATGTACTCGTCAGACCACTGGTGACAGAGAAAGTCCAGGAGCAGGGAAATAAAAATGTAACAGTGGAGACCAGCAGCTCTAATCGGACGTCTGTTTCACATGATGCGAACAATGGCAGCAGTGGCAGAACTTTTGCAAGGAATCCAGTCCCACCAGTGTTGGTCGACGGTGTGCATTCCATGAACGGCACCCCAGATCCATTGTACACACACCATGGCTACATATCTGTGCTGGACCACAAAACGGTATTGGGGATATAATATGTTGAGATAAATTTTTAGGCATTGGGAATAGAGAGGGAATGGAGGAAGTCTGAGTGATTATGAAGCCGCATTGAAGGAACCATGAATTCATGGATAGGTGGCATACGTGTATGTTAAGAATGTTTAATTTTTTTCCTAACGTACATGTACTTGTACTGGTACATGTATGTAACCTTTGAAAGCAGATCAGACATGTCAGAACAAGTAAACAGCACTTGGAACTATCGACTACTGCTACCTGCACATGCATAGTACCGGTACTTCGAAGCCAAAGTCAGCTGCTGTTTTAACTCCTTTTTGCCCTGGACTGTTAAAACAAAATTTGAACAGTTGCCCACAGGATACCATGGATGCCTTAAATTACATGTACCACAAATTTAAAGAATTAATTTCAAATTAAGCCACTCTCCAAGGCCTCTTAGTGAGACTTCCAAGTGGAGTATTCAAGAGGACAATGACCAAGTGCAAATGACATCAGTTGAATACTACTTAACTTCTTGTCTGTTTTTATGCCGGTCTCACATGTTAGAGAAAGTGTTAACATGTCTTTTGCATTGATCAACCAAAATTCAGAAGTTGAATCTACACTGCATGCAGTGCGCCGTCGTCTCCAGCTCCGGCCAGCTTCTCCACTCCCGCGTGGGCTACCTGATAGATGAGGCTGACTGCATCTTCCGCATGAATGATGCCCCGGTCCCCAGCTACGAGGAAGACGTGGGGTCGCGCACCACGGTCCGGGTGGTGGGCCATGCAGCCACACCCAACCTCCGCAACCGACGTAAGTATCTGCTGCAGGAGAGCTCCTCCCGCTATGTCATTGGATGGGGCCCGGCCAAGCCCATGCAGACCAACGGGAGAGGATATGCCTACAAGTACCTGAAGGACTTGGCCAAGCAGTTCAAGGAGGTAGACTTCTTTTACCTGACTCAAGAGCAGATGGCCAAAGCCGATCAGATATTTGAAGAGGAAACAGGAAAGCCAAGGTGAGCCATGCTGATTTCTTCATCATATGCATTTGTGCACTACATCCAAGGGCAATTATTTTGAAAAATAAGGAGAGAGAGGCGATTGTTATTGGTTGATCATATTTCCTTTTCTCAAAGTGTGTAAAAAAACAACGAAATATAGGGCCTCACTCCTCAGAAAGGCAATGTGTTTGGCTCATCAATTGTAAAATGAAAATATGTACAAGTTGGTACATATACTCGCACTTCTTGATTCTCATGAACATACATATTGTACATGAACATATATTGTACAGGAACATATATTGTACACGAACATATATTGTACATGAACATATATTGTACATGAACATACATGTATATTGTACATGAACATATATTGTACATGAACATACACATATATTGTACATGAACATATATTGTACAGGAACAAATATTGTACAGGAACATATATTGTACATGAACATATATTGTACAGGAACAAATATTGTACATGAACATATATTGTACATGAACATATATTGTACATGTACGTCCTTTGGAAATGCAATGTACATGTATATATGTACAGCATTACAGCGCCTCCAACAACTGTATAGGAAGCAACTACATGCACATGCATAGAAAGCAACTACATGCACATGTCCGATACATGAAATTTTCAGTTTTCTCTTTTAGCATTGGAATAAAGCTAAATCAGAGTATGATTAAAACAATCCTAGAGACATCATTGCATGTGTACGTTTCTTCTTTCGGCAGAATGGGTTCAGGAACACACTTGAGCACAGGATGGTTCACTATGATTTTGGCTCGGGCAGCATGTGATGAAATCCACGTCTATGGTATGGTAAATGACGAATATTGCCAGTAAGTACGTGTAATTCCAAGTATACATGCATGTACATGTACATGCATGTACTTCCTTGTACCAGTATGTACATGTTGTGCGTGTACCTACATTCGGATGAGCAGATGCATGTTTATTTTAGATGTGCATAGATATGCACTGTTGGTGTACAGTACATGTAACTACATGTACATGTATTTACATATAAGACAAGTTTATGCCAATTTGATCTGTGACTTTTTTCCTTGCACATTTTGTTGCCTTCATGTATAATGTGGGTATCCAATGTGAATGTCGGCAGGAATAAAAATGAATGAAAATGTTTTTTAGTTTGTGCTTTTGTACCTACATGTAGCCCGTTAACACAAAGGTCAGAGGTGAGCGGCATCACTTAGGAGCACAGACACAGTCCAATTAACTATTATTCCACTGCATGTACATGTACGGTACTGGCAGTGTGTACAAGATACAGGTTGAACTTGAAAGCCAACCTGGTCAATTGCATGCACATTTTCTGGAGACTTCACTGCTTGTGTTTAGTGCATCCAAGATAAACCACAAGCACATGAACCGGTACATGCATGGAACCGTGGAGTGTCCATAGCCGTGCAGATTACATGTACATGTACATACATATCGTATATGCCATCTACATGTACACTAATTCTCCTGATTACAGATTAATGTCGGCCTTGAGGAATTTACTTTGAGATGATCACATACATGTACATACGTGTGCCATATGTACATGTACTTTAAATAGTATATAAGTGAAAGACAAGCCTTTTGTCATTACACTTTTCATCAACCCATGCATTTGACAGGTATTTACATCAGAAACTGGTTCAAATAGGTGTGTGTGTTTTGTTATTTTACAGAAACTTGGCCAACAAAAATGTTCCGTACCATTATTACAACCAGTTTGGAGTGAAAGAATGCAGCTACTACAGGGCCCATGAAAAGGGGAAGAAAGGATTTCACCGCTTTATGACGGAGAAGAGCATCTTTGCCCGTTGGGCTCTCGAACAACCACCGATATACTTCCACGTACCTGATTGGAACCCGAAATGATTGCAAACCACCCAGTCTTTTGAATGACACAGGCCTGCAGGAGCTGCCAAGCTTTTAACAATTTGGGAAGCCGGGAAAATATTTGCTTAGCAAAGGCAGGTAACTAGCCAAATTGCCTTGCACTATTTATTGCTTTTGACTGGTCCCCATCTGTCTTTTGCTGAGTGAACAAACTTGCTAAGCATTTTGTTTTCTATGGAATTAGACCCAGGTGATCTTGTAGCCAGTTGAAGGTCGCTGATCTATTCGTGTTCTCCTTGACGGTTACTCCTGAGGGAGAAAATGTTGTTAGTTCCTCTGAAAGACCCAGGCTCATCTGGTGGCCGTGCATGCATTGGGCATTGTTGGCATGAACTGCGGCTTCTGCATGTGCGTTCACCTGATAACTGAAGATTCAGTGCTTATAAATTCTGCACAAGATTTCTTCATTACTGTTATAAGCTAAGAATGATGATTAACAGAGTGAAAATTTGTGGTTAGCAGAGCCAAATGCCGCTTACTTTCTCTGATTAGAACTGTGAAAATATTCAGTATACACATATGCTGCACACTATAGTGCATAGCACACAGCATACCGTACATGTGTAGTAAAACATGCAAGTGTATGGAGGTCAGTGTTCTTTTCCTGGTTCAAGTGAGAAAATTATGCAGGTCATTATACAGATCTACATGTACCTCCAGCGATTCTTGGGAAATCATTAAAGATTATCCAGATTTGGGCCCGGGCTGTAGTGCTGTTTAAAAGGTTTGACAGCAAAGAAACTTGCACTCTAACTCAGCTTGTTTGGTTACTTCCCTCGCACTGACCTTTGGTTTTATGACACGGTTAGACCATGGAGCTATATGCATTTAGACAGTCATGCGAAGTCTGTAGTAATAAACGATCTCGGGTAACTTGAGGTGCTCCGACAGGTGAGGTGAATTTGAACTGGTGAAAGAGTCCAATCGCTACTACATGCCACATCATTTACAACAGCGTCGGTGTCCCTTCACATCGTTTGACTAAGATGCTATGCTTTGTGGGATACTTTCCCAGTCTTGTGGGATTGTGGGATACTTCTCCAGTAGACCTTTCTTTTGTTTACAAACTCTGACTGCCATTTTTATAAGGGCCGCCAAAGTTTGCAGAAAGTTTTTAATTACATGCATGACCACCGGTATTTTTTGTATGCTTGTTGATACAGTATTGATTGATTTTTGTTTTAATTTGTTAACATAGTATTCAAGTAATTTGTATCGGTATTGACAAATTGTGCTGCTCCTCAGTGTCATAGTCTACGCGTTTTTTGTCCTGAATATTCTTGGAGCGTGGTGCTAAACAAAAATGTTTGTGATTGATAGTGCAGGCGCAGAGCCAGGGTCTTCCTTCCTCGTTGCAAAATGAATTTCCATCCTGTCCTAGCTGCATTACAGAACTATGCAGGGGAAACATGCTCTGGGATGATTGCATTTTCTTCGTTGTCCACTTTCAGCATGCCCGTTTTGCAATCTCGATCTTTTGGCACCGTCCCAATTTTGCATTCCATTTACCTTCTTAAGTTTCATGATCTTGCTCCTGTATTTGTCTGGACAGTTTCAATCTGCTTCTCCAACTCAACCTTTTCCTTGGCTAGCCATTATGCCACTTTGACTGCAAGATTTGAGTTGGTGAGAAAGAGACTTTCAGTGCTTGTTGACTTTGGATGTAAAAGAATTTTGTTTCAAGGCAAAAGCAGCATCTTTCAAAAGGTCCTACTGAAATATAAAAAGTACTGAATTTGAATGTTAACCCTAAACGATGCATTTGTATGTCGGTATGATTTCGTCAAGCAATGACCGTACATAGCCTTTAATAGTACTGGTCTTCTTGCAGTACATTTGTGAATAGGTTTTGAAAAGGTTTTTGAGTACCACACTTGCCGCTGAGCATAAAGCACTCTCAACCCCATTCCTGAATGCTGAAAAAACTGTTATTATTGGGGTCGCTGCAAGGACTGTGCTTTTACACAAGACCAATACCAAAGTGTGCTAATAGAACAGTTAAGTGATTGGAACAGCTGAGAGTTAAACTGTAGATACTGACCATATTCTTTAAAGGTGCTTTTCTTTTCTTTTTTCGTTCTGCTCGTCAAAATTTACATGTACAGTGTACTGCAGGAGAGGTACATGTAAAGGTCAAGAGTTATCTGTCCATCCATGGATGTTGCCAGGGGAAGATAAACATTTCTCTTTCTGGGGAGCGAAATGGGGGGGGGGACTTTTCAGCTGTGAACTGATAAATCATCAACAGTGGACGGGTCAGTTTTGGGATTTTTTTAAAAGGAAATTGGTGGTTTATCCTTGTGCATTTTTTCCTTTTGTATATATTTCATTTTTTTGGGAGGGGAGCACTTTCCTTCTGCCCTTGCAGGGTGCCTATGTATCCATCTCAAGTCGGGTCACCAGTGGGGGAGGGGGGGTAAGCAGCACTGATCGAAAGGGTTGCCTTTTTCATGGTTTGTTCATTTGAATATCCGGGAACTTGACTTGCTGACATGGGATAATGCGATTCAAATTCAAAGGACCATGTAAACATCCCTCGGTCTCTTCATGGACAGATTTGTGATAAAAGGGCCATGTAGCCTGAGGCAGCATGTTAATTGTAAAGATGTTTTTAATGCTTGTTTGCATTGGCAGTGGAAAGAATGGTGCATGCTGTTCCCACATTCTTGTCTTGATGTATTACATCAATGGAGGTCCGTTATCACAAAAAATTGAAGTATGATTCTGAAACTGCCTAATATTTCCAGTCCAGTCAGAAAATACCTTGTTGACTTTGCAGTACATGCCCAAGAAATTGGCTGTGTGATACAACATTATCGCCATATGTAGGTTCAAGCTGACTTTGTGTAATTCTGAAAATTGAATGTGTGCACTGATGGTATATGGTACAGAGCCTGCATTAATCCACAAATATCCAAAAGGAAATGAGTACAGAAAAAGAAACAAAGATCTTTCACCACGATCAGTCAAACCATAAAAAAGGAGAAACTTAGAAAAGAGTTTAAGCCCTCACATACATATATCAAGGGACAACTTAGCAGGAGGTTAAGTGTAGTTCTGAAAAGGTAAAAATTTTTCATGTATTCAGAGAACCTTGGACTTGTTTTTAGAATTTGGGAAGTTTGGCAAAGTTACTTGAATATCTGTGGAATTTGTGTATGGATAAGGTGCAGACTAGTGATAGTTCAGTGACCGTGTTTTTCTTCAAGGATTAGTTTGATAGTAATCTGTTTCTTTTGATAATAGTTATCAATTTAGCATATTAAAGTAGTTGAGATTTCAATTTTAAAGCCACCAAAGATCTGCTTTGTAAATTGTATAAATTGTTCCAATATGATTTTGTAAATATGTTAATTTGAACATTTTGATGTTTTTAACACCTCCTATGGTGCAGCTTTCAGTTACAGGAAAGAATGCAAATGTATGCTGATATGGAAAGAAATCTTTATATTTTATGGATGAAATGTGTACATTTCTTGAATTCAACAGGTAAAATATTCAAATTGTAAATTGGATAGTCTGTAATTAAAATACCAGTAATCTGCATATGAGTCTTGAGTATGCATGTGTTGACATTTGTGTTTATTGGTTGATCCTTGATTTTCATGGCATATTTTGGATAAATCTTGATGTATATAAAATGAAATATAAATGCTAATAATGCCCTGTGCTGTGTTACCCCAATCCTAAATAACCTACAATACAACACATGCATGTACAAGCAAAAGTGCCGTCTTGTATTTAATGTTCAGTTTTCAGCATACAAAAAGGACTTGGATTTGCTATATTTACATCCATTTTCATTTTGAATTTTACAAAACATTTCAAACCACTTTATTTCTATTGTATTGCAACAGACATATGGAATTTTCTGACGAATTGTTTTTTAGCACAGAGATGACAAATGGGACCAAGATTATGAATGATAATGGAGGGAACCCATGAAAGCAACGTTTGGTTGTTGAGTACAAGGGCGGCTCCAGACCAAATATATTTGGGGGGGTCAAAACAAGGAAGCAGTGTCTCCCGTGCACTTTTGCATTAACTGATCACACCAGTCACAATTAAGCAGCTGCTCAGAAACAATTTCCTGAACAAAATGGCTGTTTCCATGCGAAACGACCTTCACTGAAGCCCCTTAATATCTTAACTCTTGTTAATATCTTGTTTAAAAAAATATACTCATCAGTTTATTGGGCCAAACCCCCCCCCACATCCACCCTTGGTCGAGCAAGTGAGACGACACTTCTACCTCTTGTCATAAAGAATAACTCCTTTGGCCATTTCACAAAAATGTCGAAATTATTTCAAGGCTACTGAGAAACTTGTACCTGAAGTTGCACCTATTTTCAATGGCTCACTGTTGAGACACTGGATAGTGGCAAACACCTGTCTCCCATTTTATTTATGCTCATATTTAACCTGATATGAGTGCATTATTCAAACTGTTGTAAACAACATAAATGGGCATGAATGCTTGCCACTATGAAGCATCTGGATAATCCCCTACTGGCACATAACGGCAGACCAAACAAAGAATGAATTTATAATTTTTGCAAATAGTGAACATGATCAAATCAATCAATCAATGTTTTGGAAAAGAAATACACCTAGAAAGTTTTCTTTTCAAGTGATTTCCTGAGTGTGAAGGAGGAGGAAAGGTACGGTGCTTGAAAGACAAAATTTTGTATTTCATTGTAACGGTAAAGGTACATATCCACCCCTCCCTAAACAACTCAAATGAAAAAAGTTCACACTTGATCAATAAAAAGATGAGTCACTGAAGATGATATCATCTACATGTACTTCTGTTACTTGGCAACCAGATAATATTCCATGGTCACGATGCTAATCGACCAAAGACGACAATGACAACTAAGGCGAGGAAGGCGCTGCTCGCTACCAGAAACTGACCAGAAAACTTGACCTGAGGTACGGCCGTCTCCTGAGAAGAAACCAATACACTGGTTGGTTAAATTCGTTACTGCCACAGAACTAAAAACTGGCTTTCTTTTCAGACATAGATTTTTCTAACAACTACCATTTATGGGGCTTATACATAAATACTGCCTATTCCTCGCAGTTCTAAATAGCCATGACCACAGTGGCTATACTGCAGTCAGGTGTCCTTTGTCTTTTAGCAAATTGTACAGTTCAAATTTTTGGCAAGCAGTCAGTCCTATCTCCAGAGACTTCGACAGAAGCAAGCAATGCTTCAAAGAATATGAATACTGTCATTAACTGATTTTTCTGATTAAGGAAGACTTCTCGATTTTGTAAAGCTAAGACAGGTACATGTGCATGGGTATCAACACAAACTTCATATCAATTCCAGACTCTTGGCAAGGGGGCAAATCATTGTGCAAAGGATGCATCATACAAAGTTGTCAGCATAAACAAAGATATCTGAACACAGGGTTTCAGTGAAGTAAAAGTAAGAAAAACACCATAACTGTACCTTTTCCCTAGTTTCTTCTATGGATGGAAACTGCTCCACAAACCTGTAGTGTTCTGGCTGTTCCATCCTATCCCCTTCCTCCCCCTTATTCTGTCTACCCCCCTCTCCACGGTCTGTCTCGTTGTTCAGCGGGATAGTCATTGCCGAGAGCTCTACGTTGCGGACACTCCCAAAGAAGTCTGTGATGGGAACCTTGGTGATGTCGCGCCGGAAGAGATTGGTGCGGACTCCCGGGGTGGAGCGGCAGACATGCTGCGGACACACTTTGAACTTTGGAAAGAACCAAAAGACAGATGTAGGAACAGACACATTTACATGTACTTCATTTCCAATAACAGAAACAAGAACAGGTAGGCAGATTAGATTTATCAGACAGGGTTTGAGCAGGGTTCAGCTTGATCCTGTTGGAATTCCAGCTATGTTCCAAAGTACAGGGTCTTTGTACACATAAGCTCTTCACTGGTGAAAAATGAGAAATAGCACCGATACATATTATAGGGCACATGAGCATTACTGCCATCATCCACTTATATTCGGGCACACCTGTCCCCATCACAATGTGTTCTTCACTTCCTTTTGTGAGCCAGGAGTTTCACATGGACCAATCTACGAAACAGTTTTGTTGCCATAAGTCGTATCACTACTTTATTTTGATGCACAAAGTATTCTTTGTTACTCTGACAAGGTTTCTCCAGGATGTAAGTTCTCTAGCATTGATGATATTGAGCAAAGCACAAAACAGAATGACTCCCCCGACAAAGAATGGCATACGCTGTTTGCTTGGATTGTTGATAAAACAAAAACACACACTTACAAAGTCTGCCATTGTTTTCTTGCTGGTTGGTGTAATTTTCTCTAAAAATTCCAGGGCATAGTAAGTGTATCTGTCAATGATGTACACACCAATAGCTGGGTCCACATGGTGCTGTGAAAAATACACAAAAATGTTGGGATTAACATTTTCAAGACTCCAAATGGTAAATAGATCATGCAACTGATTACCCTCGGTCTCTGAGTGTTACTTTCTGGCCCGTCAGTCACACATGCTAATGTAATTTATATGGAATGTACTTAAGTATGCGAGTACTGATCAGCAAAGGCTCGGACTGGGATGGTGGGTGTGTGCACATGCAAAGTATATATAACATGCCCTTACAACTTCTTGGTTTATCAACGAGCCAATTCAGTGCTGGAAATAGGCAAGGTCATTCAAACACGAAGCACCTGATGTTACGTCAGCTTGCGTGTGCTCAGCGTGTGATTTAACTTGGCCTATGGCCACACTGATAGGGCCATACTTTGTGTAAGCCCATGGATGTTCTTAAATGACCAATGAGGTGCGTCATTAATGAGCAGGCACAGCTGAAATCCCCAACTGGCTCATTTACACATGCATTTGACGGGGCAACACAACCAATAAACCTGAAAAAGGCATTCTCTTATTGTATACTCTTAGCAATGAGGTCAGGTCTTGGGCTGCAACCGAGGCCATTTTTGAATGACTTGGCTGTGGCTTGATATTGAGTCTATGGTTGTGGCTGGAGCCACTTTCCATACAGTCCTGTGTAATTCCAAGCCACGACCAAGCAAATTGGCCAGAGCTTGAGAGTCCCTGCTTTAGCCAGAAATAAGAGTGCACCCGTGGAGGCAACTGGCTGAAGCCATTTCCCATACACTTGTGAGTTACTGCAAGTCGCAGCTATAGGTAAGTCCTTCGGATGCATCCTTTGATGACTGTGGATTTTGGGTGCACCGCTGTTCCATAACGCACCCGCTCAAGGAAACCAAGCTTTCATTATCTGGTGGCATGTAAATCCAGCAACGTTTCCAAGGATTCAAATGAAGTGGTGCACTTACAGAGAGTGAATCTTCCCCGACCTGGCTGGAGCCTACGGCTAGGATGTTGGGAGAATAGAAGAGCTGGAACATGGACACTGCCTGGCAGGTGTCTATGATGTATAGTACCTCATGGTATCTGCAAATATAACACATAAGGTGAGAACTGACTTTAAAAAAGGGCAAAACCAAACTGCAATGAAGTCCCAAAACAACCCTCTTGGGAGTACAACAAACAGTAAAAAAGGGCAAAGATTTTTCAAAATATTTAACATAGATTATTTCATTTTCAACTTTTAAAATGAAATTTCAGTAGTCTAGAATGGTCACTTCCTGTTGGTGACAATAAATGCAACATCCATTAATATTCATCTCACTAAAAGTCCACAGTGTTACTTTGATACATTGTACCTTTTTTACCGTCCATCACAATGTAAGAGTCCACGAGGATTCTACACAGAAACTTTTCCTGACTGAACTTATGTGGTAAGCAAAAATCAGCTGAGTACCACTTGCATGTAGTAAACATCACATGATATTAGAACAGGCAAAAGGTCCCAACGTTTTTCAAAGCTGAGCAGTAATTTACGGGAAGTCAGGTTGGCATAGTTTTGTTTTCCTCACCTTTCACCTCTGGGGGCCTGGGTTCAATTCCCGGGTCAGTCAACATGAAAATTGGATTTTTAGTCCCTAGTTGATTCATGGGTTTTACCCAGAATATATTTCTGGGGTTCAACTCCCAATTACATTTGAGTGTCTCCTCTATAGGTTTCTTCAGGTTTACAAACTACAGTGTCTAGGGTGGTTTTGAGGAATCCTTGATTAATCCATTACCAGAAATAGTTCACAATACTGATAATTTCTGTGCCAGGCTAATTTCAGTGCACAGCAACTTAAAGATATCCACTGTAGCCGCCTCTACTGATCAAGCTGATGGTGTCAGAATTTGGGAAGAGAACGTTCCAATTTCAAGGTGTGCAGGCTTGGAACAAACTGCCTGTGGCGTTAAAGCATCCCATCCCAAGAAGTTTAAGTATTTTTAAAAAATCAACTCCCTTGAATGTTTTATTGTGAATTTATAATTGATACTCTGCTTACTTTATATTCTAAGTTTTCTTTACTCATATTATTTTCATTATTCTTAGTATTTTTATCTATAGATATGTAGTTTTACCTGGTTCAATTTTAATTCTCTTTTTCTCTTGTCTTATGATTGTTCACTGGGACTCATAAGAGAACAGTTTGTTTTTTTATGAACTGAATGAGTCACCCAGTATAAAAAAGAAATTATAATAATAATAGTCACAGATTCACCTCCTCTTCTGCCACATCTGCTGAAATGCGTGCGCCAGCTCCACATTGGAGATCTCCTCAGCATCTTGGAATTTTAAGAAGCCCTCACCGCCATGGCCTGTCATATAGACCAGGATGTTGCTGCGGTCATCAGTCATCAGACGCTTGGAGCGAGGCGTGCCAGGAGGCAGGCGGCCGGTCAAAATACGGATGAAATTCTCCACTGTGACCTACCAATAATCCCCCAAAAGAAAAGGCCAAATAAACAAGTAAATTAATGATGAATACAGATTTTTCCTATCCTCAGATCCACAACAATAAATTATAACGAACCATGTATCGAAGACAAGCATGCTGCAGTGTGGGTGAAGGTGAAAAAGTCATATTCAAGTTCAACGGCCAGAGACAGGTCATAATGGTATTTGAAAATTGTCTGTAGATTACACAATAAGTGCAGGATGTCCTGGGAAACAGTTTGAAAGTGTGTCCTTCTAAACAGGGCCAAATCTGGACGGCCAACAGTAAGCTGGCTCGGTCAAAAACTTTATTTGGGGAAGTCTTTCCACTGTGAGGGAAAAACACCCCAAGCAGATGTAAAATAAGCCCTGCATTCTTATAATGTCAGATAAATCACAGGGCAAGCCAACTGTGTATCCACATGCTTAAAAACAGATTGGCCTTGTACCTCATAACCTCTGTAATCAACTTCAACGTCATCCCCATAAACATTGATGTGCTGATTGGCGTTGTTGAAAACAGTTGCTGCAGACAAGAAACATCATAGACAATTACAACATTCACAGGACAGTTGAAGGTGGTGTGCACTAGTTCCCATGTACATAATGCAGAGTTTGGATGTCTGATTTTCATCAGAATGAGCACAAATCTGCATAAACTGTGTGTGGACTCTCGGTGCACGGAAGTAATGGTGTTTATGGGACAGCCCAATCTCTGTCTTTGTCACCCTGGGAAGGAGAAGGCAGTTTTGACATTAACAGTTCAGAAAGGCAACAATCTACTTAGTGAGTGTGATGTTGGTACAACTAAAGCCACACTCACTGGCACGGTAAGGCTGTAGAACTAAACGGCAATTAGTGCAAAGTGGGCTTATTAGTCAATAGGCGCTCATGATCAGGGGAGTATCCGCATATCTGACAAAGTCACTGGCAAACAAGATGGGCATTCCAAAAGCAGATTATGAACTCCTTGCTGTAAGTTGTGCATCCCAAAAGCAGATTATGAACTCCTTGCTGTAAGTTGTGCATCAGCATCAGTAAAGCATTATAGAGACATCCATCCTTGCTGGCTATTATGTAAAATGCTCAGGTACCCACTACCTAATACCTCCTTGGAATAAAGCAGCATAGAGTGTCTCATTCAGAAACACAAGCACTAAATCCAACTACCTCAGATTGGATCAAGAATCCAAAGTAATATCCAAAAGATCTTAAGCCTATTCCCCAACAGTTCTTGACCCTCCAATATCAATGTACACATAATTTCCCACACATCACCAGGGTAAGGGTTTCAGGTTTTGCAGGCTGCAAACTTAACTGCTTAGTTCCCAAGATTCTGTCAAAGTATTCCATTTCGCAATTTCACAAGACTCAGTTTTTGTTTTTTACCAGGTCTTGGGTTGCGTGCATTGCAGGCCATGTCATCGGCTAGCATGAGAATAATCTGGCTGTCTGGTATACCCAGTCGCTTCACACTGCGATAGATAGACAGGGTGTTGGCGACATGACGGTAGTTGAACCAGAAGCGTGACGTGCACACCTGAAACAAAAAATATCAAACTGTGAATTGCGTATCACAGGCTCTTGGTCTGGTTCCAAAGGGAAACACGCACATTCAAGTGTGGTTCTCATTGGGGCTTATGGAACAAGAGACGGTACACTTTGCTAACTTAAAAATGAAATCTGCAATTTGCACTGCCTAGAACAGAAGTGTTGATGGTTGAGCTGCACACAAGATTTGTTTTTTTAATTTAGCTGCAACATCTTGGTTCTTATGTAACTTTAAGGTACATTAATCTACCTAATGGAAATCGAAATTAACTTTATTGTCTTTAGAAAGAAAGTATCACGCACAAGACACCTAATAGGGCAGCTGCACTGGAGAGAGCTAATATATCATGCCAAACATGCATTGAAAGTTCATGCATTCACAGCTTAGTTGTCAGCCCACTATAACAATACACAAACAAGTACATACCCAATAACTAATGCACCATCACTGTCGGGCTCTTAATCAAATAACATCGCCTTTTGAGAGCCTCCAGGACTCTGACATTCCATTTGATTGTTACATCTGACTTATTCAGTCACTTCAGCATACTGAGTACCAGTACCATCAGGTCTAAGAGCACTCCACAGATTATTCTGAATACATATGCAAATGTATGGATTTAGCAGATCTAGTATATCAGGATGTCATCAAGCTTACCAGAACAGCCCAATTGTTTGTATGCCCACTCTTGAAGAAGCTTTCAACATATTCATCCTAAACAGGAGAGAGACAAATCCACTTCATTTACAAATTTATTTTAAATTTTTTTCAATGTACCTGCTTGCCAGGTTGATTTGACAATGCACCTGCTGCATACATGTACCTGTAGAGGTATCAGAGCTTAATTAAAGGACAGCAGCATACAGCGTGAAACAATTCCACATCCAATACTTCTGGATGACTCGGTTCCTCAATGAAAGTTGGTCCTGTTATAGTCAAGCTTCACTTTCATTGCCCCTTTGCCCAGATGTCGAGTGCAATAATTTGATGGAACAACCTCCGAACTGGACAGAATAGTTAGGCCTAGCCTAAAATGGAAAAAGAAAAATGGAAAATTGGAACAGCCTTTGCCCTAGCCCCACCAGTGTGGCACGGACTCTCAATCCCGCTCCATCATGTCCATCCTAGCTCCATCTCCATCCGAGTCCTAAGGATGGAGCGGGGAGCCAGAGTCCGTGTCACTAGTGGGGCTACCTTTGCCCTCACCGTCCTTAGGCTACTTCCAAACTTTTTGACTCACCATAGATCCCACCTGATCCCATCTTACCTGATGCAACGTTGAGCATGGAAAAGCAAACCCGATGAATATAACGGTGGTGTACAAAATTCGGCGCATGGGGGCCGCCATCTTTTATTTTCAGAGTGTGTGTGGTTCACAGCCTCCCCTTTCCCGTGTTTATTAGTCTTCCTTAGTAGTAAGCACGCAGCACAGGCGGCTGCGAGCGGAAACCAGTTATAAAGCAGCGGGCGCCCTGCGCTATACAATCTTTGGTAATTGAGGAGATAAAATAGTTCATGTTGAGACGCGACGCAGAATAAAATTTACACCTAGGTCGAGGCCTCCACGGAAAGTCAAACGGTATGTGCGCATAGCACTAGCTAGCACTGTGGCAGCATGCATGACGTAAAGCATGTTGTAGAGTCATGATGGTGGTATGTGGCAGATTTTTCTTTTCACCGTGTTCATTTTCTAATCCAAGTGGTACATGTAGCTAGTACCCGTTGCGGAAAAAGTTGAGAAGGCTACCCCCACGGGAGCGCGGCGGACGTCAAACCGCACTGCACACAGTGTTCAGGGGGCTGGGGGGTAGCCCCACACCTCGGGCTGTAGTGTCTCTCTTTTACCATCTGTCTCTTTTCTATCGCCGCGTGTAGCATGTGTGGGGCTAGCATAGGGGGTTAGTAGCCTACCCGGTCATGCTGGTAGTCCTAGGCCTAAGGCTAAGGACAACACTAATTTTCCCTTCAAATGTTATAACAGCCACATCAGAAAGTGATAACATTAAAGATGCCCTAAAAAGTGAAACTGTCTTAGCTGGGGAGGCTAATTAATTTTTCACATATTATTTTGCTGTTTAAACATGTTTAGGGCCATAGGACTCTGGGAGTGATCTTTTTGAAGTGATCTTGGAGGATGTCATAAGAAAAAAAGTATTTTAAACTTTTGGGAAGAAATGTTGCATCCTGACTCCACATCAGCAGTTGTGTACAAAGTCTGTGGGGAGTGAGGAGAATTTTCGAAGTATTTCCCAACAACAACGGTAAATATTTCTCAGTCCAGAATTTGTGTCTTTCTAGCGTTTCTGTAATGACTGACTTTATTGAGAATGATGAGAAAAGTGGAGTCAGGATGCAACATTTTTTCTAATTTTTGATATAAGGTTGGATTCCATTAAACTTTGCGAAGCAAAGAAAAATCTATTTGAAGTGGGGATGTTTTGAGATGCTATTTGTACACGTGTAATGCAGAGCAAACTAATTATTTTGTACACAAAAGTGAGCATGGTGAGTCTGGATTTTAACTGAAAACCTCAAAATACTTTTTGTAAAATCTTTGTTCTTATTTGTGCCTTATTTCAATTAAATGCTGGCTTCACATCAAATTTCAAAAATTTTGAAATTGGAAATTAAATAGAAGAGCTACAACGTGCAAAAAAGGATGAATTTTTTTTTTATTTCTTATTTAAGAAAACAAGTTTCTAAACAAACAGCGCCCTCACTCATTTATACATGTCCCTAACCCAACTAAGAAATTATTTGCATGTAGGTCTACTTAGAAAACACTTGGGTTTTTCTTTCCAGATAAGTCCCATAGGTTTGTGCACAATGTTTCCCTGTGGCAAGGCCAAGAGTCATGAGAGAATGGGGCTCAGGCATTCAGTACAGTACCAACTAATAAGCTAACCAAGAGTCGTACGCCAAGCAACTCGCATGTTGACCAACTCGTAAACCTACCGACTTTTATGCTGAATTGCAGTGGAGATGTGTGCCGTTACACGTGTGCAAAATTGCATTTGGTATTGAAAGTTTTGAACAGTGTTTCCGCTTCTCCTTAAATTTTCCAACATTTGGGAAATTTTCGTTGTTGTATGGGAAATTGCCAGGAAAGAGAATAATTTGGTGAATTTTTGGGTTTGACTGTACCAGTACATGTAATCCTACACTTTGAAAAACCATCATTGCTGTTTCTTAACAATTCAGGTTGTATCGTGTTGCTGCCTCATCGGCCCACAACTGGATTTGGTATCCATAACGAGATAAAAAGATACCAACAGTACCCTCCCTCAGTCATTGGCTGGCAGAAGCAGGCAACAGGAGTATTCGACAAGTTTGAGAGATGTCCAACTAAAAGATGCTGTGAAAATCTCAGTGGCAGGGACGATTACCATAAAAATTTTTCTCAACTGGACGTCCATACAGGCCAAACATACCATGTGCCACTGTATTGATGCTTTTTATCAATGACAATTTTGACCTTTGAGTTGGTCGTAGTGTGAGTTTATTTGTGCACGAGTTGGTCAACGTACAAGTCAGTCAGCATATGAGGTGTTAGGGGTACAAGTTGACCGAACCGCGCACAAGTAGGTCAGTATACAAGTTTACTTTGGAACCACAGAGTGAACTAAGAAAACTGGACGTGACTGTTCTGCCGATAGCAGGTTGCAACAGCAGTGCACATGTATGTGTTTTTCACTCGCAAACGATTGTCACGTTGATTTTATTCAAACCAACGACCACGCTGCAATCAAAAATTATAATTATTAATGCAGCCAACATTAATTGATCTCTGTTTGGAGTTTAGTTCACTAGAGACCTGTGTTTCACTTTTACCTCAGAAGAGCATATCAGCACAAGTATGTCCATGTACATGCATACCATGTGTTGATGATGAGAAGCTTGACTATGATGCAACTCATGTCTAGCCAACTTACTGAAAAAGAGAACAATCGGCCATCCATTCTGAATACAAATCTTTGGTGGGAAGTAAGTTGTGTCCATCATAAACAGTATCCCAACATTAGGGAATTAGGGAAAGGCCTTTCAAAATGACAGAAGAGAGACTTTTCAGTGGTACACCATCAACATCAAGTTACTTGTATGAGCAAATACATGTACCTGGGAACCTTGGAACTGATTGTGTTCCATCACACAGGACAGCTACCGGTAGATGTAGAGCAGATGCAGAGGGGCTCCAACTTCCCCACAGAATGTACCAACTCATACAAACCATTGAGAGCCCAAACCAACAAGGAAGTCAGATAACGAGCACAGTTGCTGCTGCTTCACATGTAATTCCTCCCAGGGGGACGTACATGTATGCAGGAGGTCTGTTGCCTGCGCTTAGCCACAGAGATTGTAGTACCAGTATCTCTGATGCATTACCACCACTGCCTATCAAACAAGCACCTGCCAATCTATCCAGCAACAGCTTCTCTTGTACCCCGCCCATCAGCCAATTTGCCTTCAACAGCATCCCTTGGAATGTTACCCAAGAGGCCATTCCATTGCTCGTCAGCTCATCCTCTCCTTTACATGATGACATTACACGACAGACTTCCTCTGCCATCAAGCAAGAGATGCCAGCCTCTGACGCGAGGCAAGTTTACAGCAGCCTCTTAGATGCCAAGATAAGAGCACACTTTTCAGAACTGTGCAAGCTTCAGCACCTGCAAAATCTACTCAACCAGCATGCCACACAGCAAAAATCTTCACTGGCACAGCCAGCCATTGGTACCATTTCAACACAATCCCATCAACCCCTGGATCTAACATCCTCTGGAGTGACTAATTCCAAGAGCTGGTTGGTAACTTCAGCAGAAAAAATAGAAACTAACCAGGGGCTGATGTCCGTGACCATGGCTGCTTCAGCAAATCATCCGTCAACAGTAGTGGCAGTTGACAGTAACTTAAAAACTATTCCCTCTGTGCCTGGCATGAGTCACAAAAATGGAAGGAGCACATGTACCAGTTCTACAGAATCTATTGTGGAGAATATTGTGTCTGATACATACGCAGAGGCTAAGCTTTGTAAAAGTTTGAGTTTGTCCCCTGTGATGCAGCGTGACACTAAGGTATTTCTCGGGGAGACCGCATTACCTCAGGATCTTTTCACACTTCCGGATGCATTTTCAAGACACTCCAACTCCTTCAATTTGTTGAAGCCTTCAAATCTTAATCCTCAGTCTCAGTTCAGTGTAGAAACTAAAACTGATAGACCTGGGCTTCCATTAGCCTATGCAGATCAAGAAAAAACATCACCCCTTGAATCAGTTGGAGTTCTGAAAGTGCTTTGCAAAGCTTCCTCTGAGGGGGTGGGTTCTTCTGGTCAGATTGTCTCAGAGGATATGCCATCACCATTGGCAGGAGTGGGATCTGGTTTGCAAAGAGATGTGGATACCATGATGGGGCCAGTGTCTGCTCTTGGAGGCAGTGAATCAACTTCAGAGGAGGTGCATCAGTCATTGAACCTGCAGCTTTATGAAGAGTCACTGACAACGGTACCATCCTCCCCGCAACCTGATTTTTCACCAGCACCTCTAGTGGACATGATTCAAGACATACCACCTTTGGCTCACACCTCCTTAACAAGTGACCCTGTCTCTGCTGAAACTAATGCTGTTGCACTGCAGGACCAGGGCCAAAGTTTGCAATCTCAGACCAACACTGCACAGACAGTTGACTTCACAGAACAGCTTCCTCGGGACAAAAAATGTCCAATATGTGAGGATAAAGTCTCTGGATACCACTATGGCATGTACTCCTGTGAAAGCTGCAAAGGTTTCTTCAAGAGGACAATACACAGCAAACGGCACGAGAAGCTCAAGTGTGCACTTGGGGGTGGATGCAAGGTGGATTTACAGAGCCGTAAGCACTGTGCTGCTTGCCGATTCCAGAAGTGCCTTTCTCTTGGGATGAAGTTGCAAGGTTTGTCCAAGTTGTAATTCTTACTAATATTGTACCAATATCGAATAAGCTGAAGAGAATGGCTTTTAAAGTTTTAAGGTGATTGTAAAACTGCACAGCAAATGTATAAATGATGCTCATCATGCATTGTCGAAAAAATGGTGAATGCACAAGTTTACAAATTTCTTTCCACCAAGCTATCAGACAGGATCGCCAGCGAGGAGGTCGTAGTCTGTATGAGGGCTCATCTGAGCAACGCCGCCTAATCAAACTCAAGCAAGAGCAAGAGGCAAAAGCATCTCCCACACCCAAGAAGCGCAGACACAGACAGCCCTCCAAGATCCCAAGTGACGCCTCCACTGCCATAGCAGGTTCCAGATCTGGCCAGACCTCAGTCGCTCCTCTTCGCAAATCAGAACCAAGTCGGGGTGGCCCGGTTCAGGAAGCCCAACTTAGAGCACAGCAGCTGATCCAGGAGCTACAAGAGCAGGAACAGGTCTTTGTCAAGCAGTCAGTGGCTGATTGCTGCCTCAGCACTCTGCGGGAGGAGAAGAACCTTGTTGAGACCATCTGCCACTTTGTCAATCATGAGATACTGCCTCTGGTGAGATGGGCCAAGGGCCTGCCAATGTACAGGGAGCTCATGGTAAGGGTCTCACAAAGAATAAAACATCTCACATGACTATTTCTGAAGTACATCTACCATTCAAGAATATAATTTTAAGGCTGGAATTGATGCCATTTTACCTGATTTTTATCTGTCATCCTGTCTTCAGAAAGCTTACCTGTACCTTTTCCATGAACACAAATGATCAAGCATCAAGACAGAAAAGAGTAGACCTTTACTGTAAGACTCACCCAGTTGGGCTTTTATTTATTTTTCCTAAGATCGAGGATCAAATTCAACTTCTTTACAAATGCACCCTTAGCATCCTCTGTCTTAACCTAATCTTCTACTGCCTGGACAATGCCGGCCACCTGCTGCTGCCAAAGAACCAGGTCATCGACTTGACCACCATCCACACTGCCAAATTCCACCAGCTGGTGCCCAAGATCAAGCGCATCGCTGACCAGCTGCACTCTGTGGGGCTGGACATGTCCCGGTTTGTCTTCCTTAAGCTTATCCTGCTGCTGAGCTCAGGTAGGCTATAAGAGGAGTGTAGGCAGGGAAAAGCAGACTTGCCAGTTTATGAGTTTGAGGACATCCCGTTAGGGGCTTGTGTTATTGGGATTTTTCTTTTGTCCTGTATATGTACTTCCTATAAATTTAAAGGACCAGGAAATACTGTGCTATCCCCAGCTTTTCTGGGGATACACGTAATGTGACTTATTGTCCAAGCTTATCCAAATTGGACAAGGATTATCTGAAAGACAACTGATCAACTCTCAACCCATACATGTACAAGTTCTTCTAGTTGGGTCATTCCATCAAGTTGAGGAATGTTTCAGATGAGTTATAAGGGGGCCACTCAGAGGATAATTTTGTTGCTTATAGTGTTGCTTTTGACTTTTCTGGGTCTGAAATGCTTCAGAGCTCTTTGAAATTTTTCACTCTGATCTGTTAAAGAAAAACTGGTTGTGGATGTAACATGGACACACCACCATTTTCATCAAGTTTTGCTAAAGTTCACCTTTTTTAGCATCGGGTTCCACCCAAATGACTAGCTTAGAACACAGGTCATCGTTCCTGATTAAAAGTTTGGAAATTAAATATAAAACATTTTAAAGCCAATTTACACCAAATTTTAAAAAGTATGACATTAAGGGTGAATTGACAGTGACAGATTTCTTTGAATATCAGCAAGACCTCACATGAAATTTCCCAAATTCAGTATTCTAAGCTATTTATTTTGGAGGAAACTGGCACCAAACAGCTTGGTGGAATGACCCTTTTACAAATGTATTCTGTCATTGTACATTATTACAAGATGCATGTGCTCTGCCTTGGGGAGTTTTAATTTATAAGGGCACAACCTGTTATTAAAAAGGTACATGGTATTGATGTTTTAAATTTAGTTATGTCTATGAAATTAAAAAATGGGCATCGTACAACTGTACACTTCTAAATGACAGCTAATTGCTTTATTGCAAAGAGTTGCATTTATTCTATTTATATTTGAAAGCAAAACAGCAAATTCCTTTGGCCATGCACATGTATTTATTTCTCAGACATTTGTTTTTTTGTCCATAGCATGCTTAACCCTCAGCCCTAACTACTTTGGCTTTCTCTGGAGGAACCTTCCTGAATCAACCTGAGCAAACCAGCAGCACATTTTTTGTACATTCTAGGCCCTTTTGAATCCTGCAAAGTCAGGTTTCAGGTTTATTTCCATACCATACATAAGTTAAATAATAAAGAAGTTAATAAAACTAAATTATAATAGTATAGGAGAGGTCAGACAAAAAGCAGAAGCTTGTGCTGGGTCTGCCTATATAAGGAAAATACATGTTATCTATACAGTTCTTGGGAAAAAAATTAATAATACAGAAGTGTAAAGGTATTCATCACTCAAGTTTAATAAATTAATATGTAAAGAATAACCATTCTAATCCCTAGTTTACAACTGTAGTTTTATTTATTTATTTGTTTATTTTAAAGTCTTCAGACTCAAAAACAAAAGCTATACTGGCTGTCTAGGAAATACAAAAATTAAAAAACTGCCATATGAAGACCCCTGACAAGAATAAATGAAATAAAACCAACAACAGGGGGCAAGAAACGGTCTTTACAACTGTGTCTGACAAAACCTGGTGGATTCTGAGAAATGTACGTGTACATGTACATGTAGGAATTTCGAGGTTTAATGAGTTCTAAGATAAGCCAAGAATTTGGTTTGCTGGCAGAGCTAATGCTGTGACTCAATTTCTAATTGAATACAATAGAATATTCTAATTATATCCGTTTTTTGGCTACCGCAGATACCCCACTGTTGCATAGCAGTGAGCAGGTGCAATCCTACCAGGATACTGTTCAGGAGGCTTTGTTTGATCACGTCACCCGCACACAGCTGGGCAGCAGCCTTACGGTGGGCAACCTGATGCTGGGCCTGGCATCCATTGAGCGCATCGCCCAGCAGCTGGGCAAAGAGACCATCTGCGACCTTGCCGTAGTCGACAACGTGTTTCGTCACGACACAGACGTGAGCTCAGACCGACCATACATTCAGGTTAAGGTGCTGTGAAGAACAAAATGTTTGTTTTTCCATTTCTGATCATTCGTCATCTTCGTGTTTGGTGTTGCACATCATGTGTTGTCTTTTCTCCCATAATCTGAAATATTTAATGAAACTGAAATTTGATCCAGAGCAGAGTTTGGTGGATGTGACTTGCTGGCTGTACAATTTTCACTAGCTCATCCCTAACCCCCAAGGGTTGCTGGCCCTAACCTTCCCCATTCACACAAAGTTAAACACCCATAGGGGACTTTGTGAACAGAGGCTGTTGGACTTTATTTTTCTGAGGTATGCCAAACCCAATGCAAAAGCCAGCTGTTTTGGGCCTACCAGACTTATCCCCACAGAATTAAAAACTTTACTACTGTTTATTTCAGTGTGGTTGGGGAAGGTTAGGGTTATATTAACTAATGCAGACATGTCTTTGGGTGTGGCTGGTACTTGTTGACGGTATGCATAGCAGTGCCTGGAATATACTAAGACAGTAAATCTTGTAGTTCCAAGTGTACACATGGCTTATACTTGCTGTAGCTCGTTCTTATTCAGGGAATCTTGTACTTGTAAGTGGTGTTATTCATTTTTAATAGAGAGGCTCATGCAGGTTGAGGACAAAAGCAAGATTGAAACTTTTAGCTTTAGGAGCTAGAGATCATGGAAGCAAATGGATGCTTGTTGCGCTCTGGATTGGTCATCAGTTTGTGAGATCTTGTGGCAACACATGCAGCTCGAAATGCTAAGCATTTTATAATGAATTGGAGCTGTGACTGGCAAGATCATCTTTGCACCTGCCACATGTGCACATGTCGTGTATAAATACATACCAGTACATGTATTTTGCTTGCTATGTGTACACGTACATGTACATATCAATGGAAATTGTAGAGTTATATTGTAATTTTTTACCTTCCCCCCTTTAAATTTAATCCATTGTGCATGATTGGATAAGAAAAAAATGCTGAATCCCAGGGCCTGTATTTGTCTTTTGCAGTTTTTCAAATTCCAATTTTGTGTGTGAGATTTGTAGGACCGCTTCCAATTGTAATAATGTAGGAGATGTTACGACAGCACGCTGCATACACAGACACCCAGTAGAGTAGTAACTGTTAATAGCGCACTCTGAAACGTTTAGGATAATAACAGGTGCATCTCAGGTGTTCCCGGGCCACTCAAAATTTGTTTATGGGAAGACAGCTTGACTTCAAATATACATGTATATACAATTTCATGTACATATAAACAGGTTAAGTGTATGAATTACATAGGGGAGTGGAAAAATCATAAATCCAGGCACCAGTGTTCATTGACAACACCTTTTTTATGAGCTCAACGTGCTGTATCTGTTTACAGTGGATGCTGACCGTTCAAAGCACTCTGTATGTACATGTTACCTGCATGTACCTTATGCATGCAGCACATGCAGTCTGCAAAAAAACATCTTGCAATATCACCCAAAGCACTTTCGATACAGCTGTTTCCAAGATGCAGTGCCTGTTTATATTTTTGTGAAATATGTGTGTAATGTTTGAAAATACACGTGGATAGAATTTTGAAAACTGACATGCTGCAGAGGAACTTACACAGCCACAAAAACCATACTTGGTATAGTTGACTGGAAAAGTCATTAAAAAAATGAATAAGTAGAGATTCAGACACTTCTAAATTTGGAACACAAAAAGACAAGGTAATTTATTCAAAGAAGTATCAAGATGGAAATCATCCACTAAAACTGACTCTTAAAACCTTATCAAAAAATGACAAATTAATATTCTGAAACGGTAGCAGGAAGACTGCAGATACTTAACAGGCAATGCTGATTAATATTGCTGACGGAGATTAAGCAAGAAGATTGCTGTGCAGTAAATGCCTTTTTTGATTGAAAAGATGCTTTACATCACTGGCAAAAAAAGATCTATGGAAAATCCTTAGTCACAGAGGAAGACCAGTGCAATGAAATGAGGTGGACTGTTATTGGGGTCGAATGTTTTCCCTTCCTAAGTAAATAGAATCTCGAATTGAAAAGTGGGTTCAGCAAAGGACCATGCCTTTTATCAGATTTCTTGTTTTTGATGATTAAACTGTTTACTTGGATATTGAGGAAACCTAATGTACATGTACTTGTACATGTATCAAGGTTGGTCACATTGCTGGTAGCTACACTTAAGTATGGAGGAAGGAAGACTCTGAAGTGGAGGAAACCTGGTAACCTGTTTTTGCTAAAGTATACATATACCTGTACACCAGGCTGGTACCAGTGATTTCCTTAATGTATTCATCCTTCCCTACTGGTACAGCAACTTCCACAAGTTTCATTTGTACTGTTATTAGACACTTGACCACCGTTCATGGATGGCGGCAAAGGTGGTAGATTGCAAAAGTGTAGGGCTGAATGCAAAGGGTGTATTTTAAAGCATGTAATAGACTGCAACCAGTTGTATTTCAAAGATGGATATGTGCCGGGGAGATGTACATGTGCCGGGGAGATGTACATTAATTTTGGATTTTTTTTTCCAAGTCGAGAAGGGCAAAAAATCCAAAATTAATTTGCATCCACAAGTTCAGGCATCAGCCAGAGAAAACAAAAGCAGTGCCTCTATGAAAGCCACTGGCTAGTGGCTACGGCACTCTCATACATGTACATGTATTTCCAGCCACAGCCAAGACTGTTTGAGACAGCCGCAGAAATAGACATTGTATAACGAATCAACTTCTTAACCAGTGGTTCTTGATTAAACTTGCTCAGTTATAAAGTTAAAGTTGAGTATATTTTTCACATGCAGGTGATTACTATGGTATTTCTAAAATTTAAAGATGACGTAATTTGAAAGGGGGTTACTGACGTGTACAAGTACTTTGCCAACAGGGTTTTAATGTTTTTTACTTGCAAATCACAGAGTGTATTTTATGAATGTGAAATATAGTTTATATATTTGTATTAATTATTGTTGATTATATGCGTGTGTGTGAATGCACTGCACAGTAATAATTTACAGAAGTTTATTACCTCAATGTGAGCCCATCACATGGCCTGGAAAAAGGTCACAAACCAGTAACCAGCTCTGGACAGCACTGATAGTCAAGGAAACTGACATTTTCTGAGGTATTTGAGACACATACCTGAACAGTCAAATTGAAGTTTGAATTCCCCTCTTCCATTTTCTGTACAGTTTCTGTGGGGTTACCCTAATTCTGTGGTGAAATTTACCTGTTTGCATTCCACACTGGTATGTTTTTGCAAAGCTGATATGCACAAAACTTCAAATGCCAACCTTATTTTTTAGACCCCCTGCCCGTGCACACTTTGCATAGGCAGTGGTGTCATTGTATAACAGTTGGTCACAGTATGCACTTAATAGGCAGTGGTGTCATTGTATAACAGTTGATCACAGTGTGCATTTAATGTGAGGACGTACGTTAATTTCATGATAATTTATTCAAAGCAAAATGAGCCTTCAGCATATGTACTTATCACCTTGCCCCCCCCCCAACAAAATGGATGTAATGCTCAGTCCCCCCCCCTCTGTGCTTATAATCTTTACGGATGGCCCCAAAGAGTTAATGCTCTGGTAATGAAAACAACTATCAATCTTTATTCTCACAACTGGGCACAGTGTGTGAACTATTGCATGAGCCTGTGAGTGACCCGAGTTGCAGTTATCACATACGGAAAAAATTATCTGACTTCGATTTTGACACCTGTGAGCCATGCCTTTTTTCATATGAGAATAAAAGATGTTCATGGTTATCAGTTTATGCTTTCTTATCTGTTTTTCAGAGGAAAATCTACGGGCAACTTTTTATGGAACATTTAAAAAGCCAACATATCCCTGTAAAATTGGTGCTTACTTACACACCAGAGGTAATATGCTTCTGGCTTTATCACACCAATGTGCCACTCTTTACCAGTACTAAATATGTGTAATCAGAAATTGTCACATTTAAAAAAATATATTACATGTATGTGCAATAAATGCACACAGTAAATATGAAATGTCAAAGTGTAATAAAAGTGCATATTTCTGTTGTACATATGTATTCCATGTCAGGTGTTTTAGTTCCAGTAGACCTGTAACAAAATGACTTCAAGCCTTGTTAAACAGTTATGTGTGTACTTTGTGTGACGCTGAGGTGGGACAAGATCCAAGGAGCCCCCATAGGAAAGTGTACATGTAAACAAAGCAGGAAACCCTCCCCCCCCAGCAAGGCACGTTCAAGTGTGACTCTAACCGATGTGTTGTTTGCCAGAACCATATCCTGGAATCAGATACATTCTCTGGACACTCCTCCAGTACCACCCACAGAACCAAAGGCACTATCACATGTGGCTCTTCTATCGTCATATACATGTATCTTATGTCTTGCAGGGTGTGCAGTGTTCAGTATGTTGGAGAGAATAAGAACACTCAAGAATCGTTTCTACGGCCACAGATCTACGGTCAACACCAAATGACTAGACACCCCTGCAGGCCACCACTTCAACCTTCCTAACCATTCTACGTCTGACATGATCTTACAGGGCATAGAATCACTTGGGTTCCGTAAAGATGCTGTTCGCTTCAACCGGGAGAAGCTCTGGATCAAAGGCCTCCACACCATACAACCCCATGGCCTGAACATCCAAGAGGGAAACTAATAATTAACACTCTTTTCTTTCCCTCTCTTTAGTCTGCAGATTATGCCCCCCTTCCCACTTGGGGTCCAGTTCATTCCATTGTATTTTTTCTTTGATCTCTTACCACTTTACAATCCTTTGTTGTTCAACAGTGCCTTTCATGCAGTCCCCTTTATCCAGCCTGCAGCTGTCTTGACCTTTCCTAAAGTCCTCTTGCATTCACTATGCTTGGTTGATTTTCTATTTGCTTGTCTTGTTGACTTGTCATTTTGCCTTTGAGAAAGATTTTGCTAGGATCGAAACGTCAGGCCCTCCATATTTTGAGAAAGCAGGACTTTGTCATGTATTAGGTCCACATTTTTTTGTTTTGCTTCTTAAAAATGACAGCCCATTCATCAACACAATGAGGCACGGCTTTTGGCTTATCCCCTCCGAGTCTGAAGGGCCGCCTCAGAAAAAACCCCAAAAAGACTGGTCAGTGGGAATCATTTGCACCAGGCACCCACCCATGCACCAGAGACTGTTCGTTCTAACAAAAACTGTTTGTCCGTGCTCAGCATGGTTTGCGACAAACATGCATGACCTTGGGTACGTATACTGTATGTTCCCATCAAAGAACCATTGTTACTGTATGTAGGGGCTGATTTGGAGGGGGACACCGCCTCCCCGCAAGACAATTTTAATTTACTCCAATGTCATGGGGGGCATGGCACAGCTCACTAGCATTCACTCCCCCCACATAGAGAGGATAGGTTAAGATTGTTGCTCATATCAAATTTGCTGTTAATTTTTATTGTTAACCTTTGTGTTCTTGATGCAAAATTTTTGAACAGTTGTGATGCTGGTAACAGACACATTTGGGTATGTCCATCGTCACTGCGACTTACTAAGCATTCTGGCACATACACCTGATGACCAGGAAGGCAGATTTTGGAGACTTGTTCTTGTAATCAATTCTCCATACAACAAAACCTATTTTGTATTATTGTTTCTACCAGCATATCCCGTGATTGCCTGTTTCATATCCTAGCCACAAGAATCTGGAACATCGATCAGGGATGCATTTTTGGTTCTTGTCTTGAAGATAAGGCAAGAGAAACCTGAATACACCTACAAGGCCTGAAGTTGACCCAACAGTTGAAATGAAAAAAGTCTGAAATCAGGCTTTTGCTGGACTGGAGAACCGACATTGTACTGACTGAAGGCAGTGCACTTGCGCCAACACCGCAGTTTTACAGCATAATTTCGGCCGAAGTTATCCTCAATATTTACACAGCACAAGAACTGGAATCGGAACCGGAACTCTCAGTCTAGGGAGTTATTAGAGAGGATCCATTGGTACGGATATATTTCAAATGAATAATATGCATCACATTGACAACTTTGAATTTTTTACATCTGAAATGAGTTTATTACATCAGACACCTTAACTAAATTAAAATCTTAAAACTGAACCACAGACTTTAAAATTCAGGTTTTTAAGTAGCGTAAAATGTGTACAGTCCGTAAATGAACATATACATGTACTGATACACTACACACTACACTCCCTTTCCTGGCCAGAATACTACCTGAATTAAGTCAGCTCTCCAGGCCGAGTTTTTCTAAAATGTTGCTGATGAGGCACAGAGATATATTCACACAGACCAACTCTGCCACCCCCAAAGATATCCATTTGCTGCAAGGAGGAGAAGCAATTGTGGCAAAGCATCTTCCTCAGGGACATAAGCACCGCAATCCTTGGCTGGATTCCAAAGCCTACAGGCACCCCGTCCTTACCCATTTGGGCAAGAAAATGCACCGGAGCCTGGGTTGACAATGCAACATGGGCCTGCAGCTGTGGCATGCATTGGACTCTTCTTTCAGATACCAAACCCACAACTACTATAGACCACAAACCCTGTGTGTGGGGCATGATAGTCAGACTTCAGAGTTCTGCTGTCAGGGTTACTGCACTGTGAGCATTTCCTGGATGACTGTGTCGGAAGTGAGCTCCAGAGGGGTACAGCCTTCGTTATCTCTCAGTTCCCGGTTGGCGCCGTACTTCAGAAGGATTTCTGCGATGGCTACGTGCTCGCACGCAGCAGCTGAAAGGCAGTGGATGCAGACAATCAAACAGATGCTTTAGTTATTACCACATCAATCCTCAGTCAAGGTCAAATCTAGGGGTTCAAGGGATCCTAGGTTGGCACTACACTATGTTGTTGACTAAACATAAGTGACGTGGGAATCACACTGGGCCACATTACTCAAACATAAGCCAACAGAAAGCTGAAGCAGTCTGTTTGGTGATCAGTTATATGGATGTAGTCACAAGTTTCAAACACGGACAGCCAGATTCTGCATAGAATTTGCAGCCATGAAACACAGGAGGAAACTGATGAGATATTAATTCACTCAGTAGTCTAGTTCACACAGAGAAATGAGCTCTTTGCAATCCATCTGTGCTGTCTAGATGTCCTGTCCAAAGACAACAAGCTTTGCGCATCAGAAATGGACTGGAATTCTTGACCTACTCTCGTGGAATACATATATCCTAGATGTACACACCAACAATTCAAAACGGCACAGCACTGTGTTTAATACGTGGGTGCACATCTTTTTGGACAGTTGCATCTTAAAAAAAAAACAAACCTGCACCCCTGGTTACCCCCTCAAAATTTCATCCCAGTTTTGCCCACTGGCGGCAGAAGCAAGGGGGGATAGTGAACCGCCCACTCTTTCGACAATGGAGCATGGCCCCCCACTTTTTTGCACATCGACAATAGGGTGAGGCTTAGTGTATTGGCCTATTCATGACTGATTCCTGGTGGTCTCACAAATGCCCCCCCCCGACTTTGAAAATCATTTCGTCACTGGTTGTGCCACTGATACAAAGACTAAAGATGGTATTTCTGGCATACAGATTTGTGCAATTTTACATTTACTTCTTTTATTTATTCCTTCATTCTTTTCCTTACCATAATGTAACGGTGTTTGCCCTTCCTCATCAAGGATATTGACATCTGCCTGGCACTCTAAGAGCATCAGTGTTACATCTGTATGGCCCCGGTCACATGACCAGTGCAGTAAACTCATCCCCTGTAGATTACAAAGTTAAACGCAGATCAGCATTGGGCAACTCAGAGGAGATCAAATCCATTCGCAAAATCAGTTCTACTCTGACTGATGTCTCCCCACTCAAGTTTGTTTGCTTGTCAAGGATGCACTGATAAATAAAGACGTTACGGTCAAACTTTCAAATTTGTTTCCTCCTTCGTAACGCTTCTTCAAGACCCCAGTTCTGTCATTTTCCCAGTTGTGGGGGTGCACTAATATCCATGCCAATGATAGTGTGGCACAGACTTCGATTACACTCACACATTTAATATACATGTAGTCCTTAACTTGGATAAGTTTCACAACTTCTCTTAATGGTTAGCAGAAAAACTGTGCTAACTACCAGCGTACTGCACAACTTGGGCATGCTTAGCCCATGCACTCGTGGAAATTTAATATGTGGCCTCACTATATTAAGCATATTCTGAAGTTACCATGCTCTTTGCTGTGCTTTCTCTTTTAAATGGATGGATGCTCTCTTAGCAGCTAATGTGTGCTTAGCAGAGATATGAAATTCTGCTCAGTTCTGCATGGTGTTTTTAAGGTTTTTTCAATAGCGTGCAAATTCCCTGAATTGACCGAGAATGACAGGTGGATGGGAACATTATGGGTACCTCATCATCAGTGTCGTTGACTTCCAGCCCTTCCTCATCCAGCAGTCGTCTCACCTGCTCCACATTGCCCTCCTTGCACCAATCAAAGACGGTCTTATTGAAGTCACTGCGAACAGAATATCACGTTAATTGGATCCATCGGGCATTAATTCAATCTTGTGATGGCTAGAGTGTCCCTACCTCAATATTCACACGTGATCCAACCCGGTAAAAATGGAGTCTAGAGTTGCCAGAGCCACTTTAAACCTTAAAGAGATCCTGTACAGTGGAATTCAAGAGCCACATTTGTATCTTTTGTGAGATGTTTATCGGGATGTTAAAATGAGCAAACAGAATGAAGGGCCAAGTATCTTTTTCCAATGCAAATGAAAACTAGCAACAGTACAAATGAGCTTGAGATTCATTTGCTAGGACTGAAGCAATCCATCCATGTAACAAGCATGCAGGCCGTCTTCCAAATGCTCACAGCGTTCTCACCAGATGTCGTCGTCCTCCTTGCACATGGTGCTAACCCCAACCCCCATCCCACCCCTGCTCCCTCCTCCGCCTTTCGTCTTGCTGGACCAGTCTGGGTCGATCTCCTTCACTGCGGCAACGTACTCCGCCATGGCAACATCCTTGGTCATTTCACCCACCCCGTGCCATGCATCCCTTCAAGTTTAAATTAAAAAAAAAAAAAAATTATCAAAAATAAAGTTTAAAGATGAGCAAGATATAGCAGTGGCAATTTGTGGTGATGAAACCTAGCATGGAATGGTATTGAGATTAGATGAAATTCTCAGGGCATGATTTGATACTGCTATTCTGCAACATTGAAATGGAAATTGGCCTGCACTTTACATTATTTGTTTACAACACTCAAAAAGTACAAAATAATCAGTTGGAATGTACTATGAATGGCAAGAAAGCATGACACACAGGAAAACAAAGTTCGGTATCTTTCATTCAGATATAAGCTATGTTCAAATCAACTGACTATGGCTAGGAGCAGCAGGCATCTACGGGAATTGACTACAGCCTCTAGCCATTCCCTTCCATAAGCCCACATGCTATTTCTGGCCAAAGCTGTAACTTTTGGCCGTGGCCTAAATTGGCTCCCCTGGGTAGGCCACACAGGGTCCCTAGAACGTCTTGTGAAAATCTCACAGGACCGAGCCTGACCCTAAACAGCACTTCTTTGGCTACATGTATGTCGAGTGGAAACTCTTCCTGTAAGTTCTAAGCAGGGTAGACTTTGGCAAAGTGTTACCATTTCTGCTTCCTTTGGAAGTCAAAGAGACCTGGCCGCAGTGTGTTGCACTTGCCGACAGTAGCCTACAAGGAATTGATACACATGAACAGGAAGGCATTCACAGAGGGGCTGCAGGAATTGCAAAATTAGCCTGCTAGGCCAGGGAGGGGAGGGAGAGCAAGAGAAAAGATAAAAATTGACAACAGGCCTCAAACTGTAGAGCACAATGTTCAGCTCTTATGACAGATGACATTGAAATTTAACAGCAAGCTAAAAAGGAATAGAGAATTTGTGCGTGCACTCATAGACACTTCACATTGTCATCATTACTATGGTTACTGGACTTACATGTAAATAACATAAACCACCTTGATGGTCCAGGCCTTCTAAGACTTGAAAGAAAATTTGAGCTGTAAATGAAATCCCTATTCATACCATTTTCAAGTTGTTTGAAATGCAGATATTTTTAAACTTTGCCAAATGTGAAAAGATCAGAATCCTATGTTAAAGTTATAGTAGAAGTCTGCAACAGGGTAATGCTATCCACACAATTGTTTGTTTTTATTTGACAATACCCATACAGATTACAAATGATCATACACAAACAACTGAATTAGCTTAAATAAAATAAAGGAACTACATGTACATATAAATCCAGGGCATTGTCGGGGATAGTACAAAAAAGCTAGACATTTCCATTGCAGTCCTCCATATCAACTTGTTTCCAAACATGCCAAGCCTAGATGCAATTTGGGTTTGTACCATAAACAGTTCCTCTCATATTCTTAATTCCGCCCAAAGCCAGTACCTAAAAAGAGTACAATATCAATTTTACACACAATGTTACTCTCTTCAATGATGTACTATTACTAACTGACTAACCTGAACAACAATGCTTGTTTTTCTTACCTGTTTGTACCTTGCATAAAGATACAGTAATTTCTCCTTGGGTAGACCAGACACCAGCATTTGAACTCTTTGGGCAGCCTGATGAAACTCTCTGGTCAATCCATCATCCCCCGATGGCCCCACCGAGGTGTCACCAAAATCAGAATCATCACTTTCCATGGTCTTTTGTAAATTAAGATTCAGTAAGAGTGATAATAAGGTACTACAGTACAGTAGGCTTATGACTTCTCAGAGTAGGCTAGGTCATGACTCATGTGACGTTAGCAGGGTTACGCCAAAGGTAGCCAAGAATTTTAAAAAAAGAATTAATCGTCTCAAGATGAATGCAGGGCGTTCAACTTTTTATGCTGAGGTATGGTGGCAACACCTTGTGTATTCTAAATAATTATGAAAATACAGTAACGTGGGCAGTTATGTGGCCTCACCAGCACCAGTCCGCAGTCGTCTGCTTAACGTAATCAACTGCTTGGTCTAGTCGGGTTCTAAACGACAAACCTTAACTTGTTACAATTAAACGTCTGGCTACCAGGTCAAGAACAGAATCTAAATGCTGACAAATGAGGGCGCCATTCTACTTTATGTACAAACGTAACCACGCAAACATACTTCTCAAACTACAATTTTTAAAGAGGGCGCTGCAACCCCTTGTTGATCCCAAATTCACAATTAACCCCCTTTGGCAATAGTTTGGCATTATTTTAAAATAAGACGAACCAACACCAAAACATACTGATACCTTCCTTTTGATCTGTTGTCATGGATGGGAAAATGCGGACATTATGCATACGTTAAAACCTCAGAGCGTAAACCACTTTTCTGTATTTTTTCCTGTTTCATATAAGTCACATTCTTGCTTTCAGTGCCCCTTGAAAAACAAAGTGTGCAGCAAGGTGTGAGACGGAGAGAACCCCTCCCCCCCCCGCTTTGTGTTGGTCATTGTCTCGCAGGAATCTGGGGAATTCCTTTTAGACATCTTGGGGGGGGATGTGTTTAGTAACAATAGTCTGGAATGTGTATAGGGATTGGACATGTTTGGGGGTACCCCTCGGTCTCATTTCTTGCTGGGTATATTGAAAAAATGTGGCTTCCCTAGTCAGGTGCCCTGCCAGAAATTTAACCCTATTTTCAAGATGTATTTTTTTTTTTTT